TATAGTTGCAGTAAACAATTTAATAATTCAGCAACTAGCCTCCTAAGCATGCATAGATCAAAACTAATAATTAAATGACCTTATCATGCACTTGAATGCATTCTAAAACAAGTTTTATAAACACATTATGTTCCATCAAATTGCTGAATTTTAATTCAACAATTAATTCAACTTCCATTTGTTAAGTGCCTTAATTTTTACACTGTTTGTTCCGACAACTTAGAATTAAACTTTACTCAATTTAGGGTTTTAATAACACTCAAAATTCATTCCTTGATCCCTCTGTAAAGTTCCAAATTCATTCAAACAGTCTCCATGCTCCAACAGTGAACATAGTATGTAGAAAATTAAAAAAAAATCGTAAAATAAAACAAAATAACAAGGGAGCCTGCTCCAGAATTTGGAGCAGGCTCTTTTCCAGCCTAGAGCCGGCTCTAGGACTCCCTAGAGCCGGCTCTACTTTGTTGTGGGAGCCGGCTCCCACTTCTATGGAGTCGGCTCTCACCTCATTTGAGAGCTTTCGTCCCCGGTGCGTCGTTTCAGCTCTTGTGCTCCTTCTCCGGCTTATTCCTAACCCTCTGTTAGTTTTTAAAACCAAACTTAGGTGTCATATTAATACCCAGTAGCATCCCAATGGCTTGATATCAACAATTAAAAACAATTACAGAGATTAAATTTGCTACCGAACTAACCTGCGTTAGGAACAAAACTGAAATTATAATTCTATTCCAACCTCTCTGTTTCTCTTCACAAACTGATCTTAGGAGTCTTATAACATCCCATTAACATCCCTAGGGTTTGTTTACAGAAGATAGAGGCAAGAGTCATAACTAAAACTCAACAGATTTTTAATATGCTTTAATGAACAGAACAGGAAGCAACAATACACGAACTATAAACAGATTTGGATTCAATGCAAACAAATCATCAACAAGCATACATTGAACACATAAGTTTCATTTACTAATTAGTTAATCCCTAGAGACTATCTAGGTGCACAGAACACGAGCCAAAGGGAAGGAGAAAGAGAAGAACTTGACTGTGATTTCAATTGTGAAATCCCTGTGTCGTCTCTAAGTTTTCCTGCAATTCTGAACGCCGCCAAGCTTCCTATAACTCTGTGATACCCCCGAATTTCCGAATACGGGTTGGCCAGGCCCACGCCCGAATACCCGAGGATATCAAAACAAATTGATAATAAATGAACACAGAGTACAAAAGAATAAAGAAGAATAAATAAAATGCTGACAAGAAACTAAAATGATAATCTAATAATAAACCTCATAATATATTTCCATTAATTAATAAACTCTTCTGATACAACTGATCCTCCAAAATACAACTCGGGAATCCATACTGTGTGGACCCCTAGAAAATCCAAACTAAACAAATGACAGTAATCTAAAACAAGAAACTGAATCATAAAGGAACTCCTATGTAGCATCGGAAGAATGAAGTAGACTGATACCCGCTCAGCCCGAATAACCTCTACTCGTGACGAACACCTGAAAAATAATGGTGGGTCAGGCCCACAAACAAGTTCTACTCTACTACAGTCCAAGCAGAGATCCGATACACGTATACATCCTAGTCAATCCAACAGTAACTAGTAGTCCGTATATATATATACACACACTAAAGGAACCTCACTAGACTATAGGGTTGTCTCAACCTGAATAGTAGGCAACATGCAAAACGCACGTATAGTGGGCATGAGTACCTAGACCTACCAGGGTACACAACTACACTATATCTAGCTACACATCCCTGGCGATATACGCGCCTTAACCATTGATCCTGAAACTCAACCTCATATCATGGCACCATACTTATATATATAAAATCTAGTAACCATCCTATCCAGTATAAATTAATCCTTCATAAGTCATTCAACTTGTTCAGCTGACCTGACTTGAATATAAGTAGGACTTAACATTTTAGTTAATCCATTCCCTTATATAATAAATTAATCATCCATAAGTCATTCAACTTGTTCAGCTGACCTGACTTAAATATAAGTAGGACTTAACATTTTAGTTAATCCATTCCCTTATATAAAATAGGTAGGACTCAACTAATAAGTTAATCCATCCCTAGAATGCCACCGTCCCATACCGGTGCATTAAACCACACAATCCAACAATTGATGTAACAATTAAGGAAATACATCAAACATTCCATAAATAACTATGATAAATATGATATCAAGTTATCACATAATAGGAATGACTTATTATTTCTTTAAACTTCTTATATCATATGTCCTACACAAACTGAATCTTATACATGATGATATTTTATTATACCGTTAAATAAGGATTCTCCATATCCAATTCATCCTACACATTTAATCTAAATTGCTAAAATATTTTAAAAGATTAAATCCATTCGTTTGTTTAAAACATTCAAATAGTAAGTATCATTATGATTGAGTCTATTTAAATTTACTAAAACCCAAACCTAGTCCCTATTTAATGTTCAGGAATCTTAGGCATGTTTCTACGTTCCATCATTCCACAGATATGAAAAATACATAATTTAAACATGCAAAAATTCATATAAGAAATCAAATCAAAATAATGCATTTTATCAATTCATAACACAAGAACAGATATGAACCAATTTCATAAAACCTATGTTCTAACCCAATTAAACATGCATAATTATTTAATTTTATGTGTTTAATAAATCCTGGAATTTCCTAGGCATGTATAGAAATACGAATCAAAGGGAAAGAGATAGAAGAAGAACTTGCCTTAAACTTTCGGATTGAAAGTTAAACTTCTTCTTCCTTGATCTTCCCTCTAAAGGGTTTTCTCCTCCTTCCTTCCTCTTTCTCCTTTTCTCTCTAACTCTCTCTCTCTAGAATATATTACGTGATATATTTTCACTCCTTTTTCAACCTATAGTTGTGTATTTATAGGCTAAATAATAACCCTATTCCTTTTCCCAATCCAAGTCAACTTAATAAAGAAAAATAAAAATGAAAATATTAAAAAGGTAACTTAAAATATATTACGTATATAATCTATGTATATCCTTATTAATTAAATAAAATATATACATTAGATTATTTATTAATACTAAAGTTACTATAATATTAAAAGGTAACTTAAAACATGTTACGTATATAATCTATCTATATCTTCATTAAATAAATAAAATATATACATCAGATTATTTATTTATACTAAAGTTACCATAATATTAAAAAAGTAACTTAAAACATGTTACGTATCCTTATTATATAAATATATAAAATATATACATCAGATTATTTATTAATACTAAAGTTACTATAATATTAATAAATTACTTTCCTTTTTATATATATGTATATACATATATATCTATATATATACATATAGAACTATCATTGGGTAATTATCCATACCCATCCAACCTCCTATCCAAGTAGTCTATGGGACCCAATTAGTTAGCCAATTACCACTAACCATAACCATAAAATAAAATAAAATAAAACATTTAATCATTTAATTTACAATTAATTACAATTAATCAAATACATCATTTAAGCACACAATTTAATTAAACAAATAATACAAATAATACCTAGACAAAATACAAATAACACATAAATAAGTAGCCAATTAATCAAGTAACACTTAATTCAATTAAACACATAAATAATTAGTCAAATAATCAATTAAACAAAAAAAAAATACAATAAAAATAAATAAATAAATACCGAGACTATACTTTTAAAATTAGGGGTATTACAAACTCTGTCTCTAATCCTTACTCAACCTCCTTGGTCCTCTCTGTACAAATCCTCTTAAGCCTCACTCTGTTTTCCCACAACTGCTCTCTGTTTCTCTCTCCCTGTATCTCACGGTCTCTGTTGTTTTTACAGAAATTACGTTTAATTATTCTCAAACCTTAAACCACCGTGACACACATACTTATAGGCTTAGTGATTAAACCCTAATCCATGTAACCTTAAAGCCAGAGCCCATCTCGGCCCGTAAACCGACCTAAGATAAATACCTACGTCGGCCACCTATGTAATTGCAACCCTAAATTTAACTGTAATTTAAAACAGAATTAAATGAAAAAATAATAATAATTAATTCCAATTAAATAACCCAATTAAATAATTAAAAACACTTAAACAATAAAATGCCAATTAAAGAATAAAAGATAACTTAATTCAATTTAAAACACATGACACATAGGTAAACAATTACATCAAAACAATAAATAAAAATAATTAATCCAAATAATCATGCAAAAATACAATAAAAATAATAAATAAATGTCGAGACTATCCTTTTAAAATTAGGGGTATTACACTAGGCATGCACAGAACACGAATTAAAGGAAAAGAATAGAACAGAGACTTGCCTCTGATTTTCGATTGGAAATCTAAAATTATCGTCTCTAGTAACTTCGGCAACGTCAATTGTTGCTATCAACCTCTGCCGTTCCTAGTTAAATCTATAACTCCTCCTTGAATCCCTCCCTTAATCTCTTAAGGTTCTCTCTGTATTTTGTCTTACAAAACACACTCGGTTGCTTTCTGTATTCTATGTACGTGAATATGGTGAATAGGGTTTACAAAAAACCCTTGGCAGACATATACCTATATATTTATAGGTTTTATTTGAAACCCTAAATTAAATCCTAAACCAACTACAAGTCAGCTAAAACCCAGACATGATGAATTTAAGCAAAACCCTAATATAAACGATCAATTTAAGCAAAACCCTAATGTAAACCAACTCACGTAAATAATTTAATCCATTTAAAATAAAATAAAATCTAATTACATAAACATAAGACTAAAATAATTAACCAAAAACATAAAAATAAAAACCATTTAATTAAATACACAATTTAAATAAAATAATCCACAAAGCATGCAAATAAATAAAGAAACAAAATCACCAAGCCAAATAAAACAATTAAATTAAGAAAAATACACGTAAATAATTAAATTAAAATTTCAAGATTGTCCTTTTAAATTAGGGGTTTTACAAATGGCTTCGTCATCACAAGCTTTTCCTTTAGCAGACTCTAATTCTTCATCTTCCTCGTCATCCTCTTCGGAAGATGATCCTTTTGGGGCGTTGATTCAACAGGATCAAGATGAATTATATGAGATTATGAATTCAGTGAGGCCAGAGATAGTTGAGCAAGTATTTCAAATCCGTAAAAAGAAGTGGTACATTCATCGTGACCGATAGGGAAGCCACTATCAGCTAATGAGAGACTACTTCAACGAGAATTGCACATATCTACCGGAATACTTTCACATGCGATTCAGGATTCGACGAGAACTTTTTCTTCGTATCCTTAATGATGTCAAAGCTTATGATCACTACTTTGTCCAAAAAAAGGATGTAACTGGTCGTCTGGGGTTGTCTTTTATACAGAAACGACAACTGCTATTTGTATACTCGCATATGGTTGTGTAGCTGATCACTATGATGAGTATATTAAAATCGGTGAGAGCACTGCCATTAAATGCTTTAAGACATTTTGTAATGCTATTGTTACTGTGTATGCAGAGGAGTATATGCGCCTACCCAACGAAGCTGACATAGCACGGCTGCTTGAAGAAGGGGAGCATAGAGGATTTTCGAGTATGCTTGGTTCTATCGACTGTATGTACTGGGAGTGGAAGAATTGCCCAGTGGAGTGGCAAGGCACACATATGGGACGATCTGGCAAGAATACACTCATATTGGAAGCAGTTGCCTCACAAGATTTGTGGATCTGGTATGCATTATTCGGAATGCCGGGTTCACACAATGATATATATGTGTTGGACCATTCCTCGGTATTCAACGGTATCGTCAATGGCCAATTACTTCCGGTTAATTATGTAGTGAATGGACATCACTATAGAACGGGGTATTATTTATCTGATTGTATATGTCCTAAGTGGACAACTTTGATGCAGACCATCCCGTACCCAACCACTACGAAAGAAAAATTATTTGCTCAGTTACAAGAGGCAGCAAGGAAAAATATGGAACGGACTTTTGGGGTATTGCAGATCAAGTGGGCAATAATATAAGGACCAGTGCGTTACTGGGAGAAAGATGACTTGCGCCTCATAATGAAAACGTGCATCATTCTTCACAATATGATCATTGAAGACGAGTGTCACGCAAATGTTGGAAGATAGACTTTGCCACCGGAGGATGCAATCCCGATTCCCACTTTAAGTCGACGACCATCAGTTTTAGCGGCACACATATTCTCTCACCAATTTCAGATTCGTAACAAAAGACAAATACGCGGTTGATGAATGATTTAATGGAAAATTTGTGGAACGGCTATGCTACTGAAGATGTTTAATTTATGTTGCATTTTGTTTTATATTAAGATGTTATGACATTTCGTATATTAGTATTTTTATTATGTAATGATTTTTTAAGATTGGAATAAGAAAATAAGTATTACAAAATACTATGGGAATAAGTAGATGAATTTGTAATTATAATTATTTTTTTTTTCAAAAAGTTAAAAAAAAATATTTATATATATATTTTAAAAAATTATAGCCGTTAAGGCATTGTTTGTGTTAGCCAAACAGTGCCTTAACGGCCGAATACACTATTTGGCCTACGCATTTAAAATTTAAAGCAAAAAAATAAAATAAAAAACTAAATTTTAAGTGAAAAAACAAAAAAAAAGGTTTTTAATATATTTTTGGCCTAAAATTTTTTTTTTTTGGACAAACAATGCCTAAACAATATATTTTTTATTTAATGAATTTTATTTTATTTTTTTCCCAAAAAAAAGAGCTCTAAATGACCTATTTTTAGGGTTTTTTTTTTTTTTTTTTAAAGTCTGCCAAACAGTGCCTTGCACTGTTACAGCACCTACACAAAAAGACAAAAAAGAGGCAGCCAAACGGCGCTGTTTTGAAACCATAAAAAACAAAAAAAAAAATTTACCGCGATCGTGGGCCGGCTCACTGAATACTGCGAGCCAGTCCGCAAGCCTAAAATGGGCCCTACCAGTTTGCAAAGGCTGCTGCAGGACCCAAAGCCCCTCTCTCTCTCGCGGAAATTGGGTTCCGCTGGTAGGCTGCAGATGCTCTAAGGACAACAGATATATTGCTATATCGCCGAACCATATTTACAGGTGTATTGCTTGTTTTGTTGACGTGGCTAGTCCAATTCGGTTTGGCCTAGCAACTTTTAATAATATTATTATTTTTATATATTTAATATTTTGAGTAAATTAGAAAAAAAAAACATTGTTATTTAATTGTTTGTTTTTGTTTTCTTCAACCGCTATTTTTTCAAGTCACCGGATTTTTTTTTTTATATATATATTTGAATACTACAAAATATTATTTTTGTGATGAATAAAATATTATTTTTAAATTTTTTGTTTCTCATATATTTGTTGACAAGTTTTTTTAAACAAAATTCAAAAGATAAAAAAAATTAAAATCATACATATTTTTTTATATAGGAAACGTAGCATTTTGTAGCCTATGGGATGCAATTTCTTTCTTTTTTTCCCGAACACTATAATTTGTTTTTTAGTATTGAAAGAGCCGTTGTAAAGTTAAGAAAAAAAACAAAAAAGACAAGTTGTAAACATAAAGTAGCATGTGGGACCCGAAGAGGCTGGATGGGTATATCAGTATTTGTGTCTTACACGGGATACAAGAGAGTACAAAAGAGTTGTCAGGTCAAAAAGCAAGTTAGACCAAAAACCAATTTCGAAACATTACATCACAAATCAAATAACAAATTTAATTAATTTTCTTTGAGTTATAAATATTTGAAAAAATAAAAGAAATGCAAAAACTTAAATAGATAATTTAGTACGATGTTCAAAGAAAGAGATTAGGAACTTCTAAGTTGAACCTTATAAACTTTAACATGTGACCTTTATTACAGATCTATGACTCATAATATATCATATTAAAAAATTAAAAATATAAAATAAAAATAAAAATTATTTAACCAATCATGTATTTAAAAGAACAAAATTATTTTATTAATTTAAATAATAAATAAATAAAACAAAAAAAAATAGAACAATCTAGCTTTATGACCAGTGGGAGGAAATAGAGGGAAGACAATGAAAGTTGAAGAGATCTGAAAATCTGATAATTTAGTTACATGAGATGAAACGGAAAAAAAATCAAACCAAGAATATTAATAGAAGAGGTGGGTTATTAGAAACTTAAAGTTGTTTTTTTTTGGGTTCAAAACCTTATCGTTTTAAGACATTTTTATCACTAAATTATATGGAACATTGTCAATCTTAAATTTAGGTGAAAAGACACATGTTAAAACATAATAATTCAATTTAAGATAATGTGAGAGATTTTAACTTAGATGATCCTAATCCTAAAGAGAGAGAGGAATATAATCATTATTCCATTCTCTTAAATAATTATGCATAAGTCATTATTTTAGGCTATATTTAGTAAGTTGGAAATAGTAAGAAAGTAAATGAAAAACTCAAACATTTTAGGCTTCCTTGATTAGATGAAAATAGCAAAAAAAAAAAAATAAAGCAAATGATTTTTGTAAGGGGTTTGGATAACAAGATTAATATAAAAGAAAATTTTCACAGAAAATAATTTCAAAAATCACCTAACTTCTCATAAAATTTTCATAGAATACAAAATAAAAAAAAAGTTTGATTTTTTGAGATCATGTTATGAATCACAATAATGTCATTTATTTTCTTGCCAAACTAGCCATTCCGTTTGGTTCTGAAATTTTTTACAAAGTAAAGGGCTTTTTAGATAAATAAATTACTACTTTATAGATCCGAACCCTACTCAACCACGACTAACATGAAAAAACATTCAAACATTTCGGACCAATAGGAAACGAGTATTATATGATGGCGATCCGAGTGGAACACTCATCTTCACATCTGAGTCGTCCACTTCCTTCGAGAAAACACAACCTCCGCCATTGTCAACCGTGCGATACAATGCCAGAAGAGGTCACGGATAATGAATTCTAACCGTTAGATTCACTCTTTTCGCCAACACCTGCTTGCTATATATACCGATATACCACTAAACGCCCCAAACTTTCTGATTGTCTAGAGAGAGAGAAGGCGAAGATAGCTGTTCATAATCTGAGAGGTTAGTTCGTCTTTTTATTTTAATATCTAATAATTATCAAGTCTTTGATTTATTATATCTTTGTATTGATCGATTTTACTTTGTTGGTTCGGCTTAATTTCTGTTATGGTTTTGCCGCTCTTGTGCCCCATATGAAAATCTAGGGTTAGGGTTTCGGTGTTCCGATTTTAATTTTATGTTCTCTTGCCTTCCGATCTCGTATTTTGTTGAAATTTTTGGCCTTGTTTGCGTATTTTTGAGGTTTTCTTCTTCGTTTTTCTGTTGTGCACTAGAAACGTTTTTTTTGTTTTTATTTTTAGAATTAGGGTTCTTATACTATCGATAGTAGTTGAGATTAATTTTGAAACTGTTTGATCGATTTGTCGATGTAGCTCTTTTGTTAATTAGAGTTATTTGTGTGAGTTATTAGTTGATGATTTAACGGGCTATCAGGGGATGTTCAATTATTGTTTAAGATGATTACATATGTTTGTATATATATGTGTATTTGGTTGTTATTGAATTTTTGATCGTTTAATACCCGTTCCATATCATTCTATATTTGGTTAATAATTATCAAGTTAAAGTATTGTTTGAAGGAATAATAAGAACTATAACAGTGATAGACTTTAGGAGAAAGAAGCTATCATGAATAACAAAGTAGAGCTGGCTTCACTGGCCCGATTCTACCACAATCTTCGAATATGATTATCTGTGCACCCAATTGTTATGGTTGTGTTTGAGTTGATCTAGGAAGTCGGCTCTATTTAGTGGGCATGTCCTGTTTATACATTACTTGGATTTTAGAAATTTATGAACTTATGTTTGTACTTTTAGATGGCACGTACTAAGCAAACTGCTCGCAAGTCAACTGGAGGAAAGGCTCCTAGGAAGCAACTTGCTACCAAGGTATGTCTTGTATCTTGAGCACACCTTCACATAGCTGAATAAATATCAGTGTGTTTGAATTAGTTTTTGGGTTATGTCATTGATATAATGATTTGTCTCAGGCTGCTCGTAAGTCTGCCCCAACCACTGGAGGAGTTAAGAAGCCACACAGATACCGCCCTGGAACTGTTGCCCTTCGGTGAGTTTGTATTCGAAAGCACACTAACATTAGTTTCATTTGTTGGATGATTATAACAATAGTTGCATTAGACTTGTTTGTTCGATAATGATAGTAGAGAGAGGCCACTCTCTTCTCTCTTTCCTTTTAGTAGTTAATGATAATATTTGATGATATGCAGTGAAATCCGCAAGTACCAGAAGAGTACAGAGCTGCTCATCAGGAAACTGCCATTCCAGAGGCTTGTCCGTGAAATTGCTCAGGACTTCAAGGTAAATTGAAGTTCTTGTTGATTCTTCTATCTTCATTTTATTTGAAATAGTAATTGAAACCATGGTTGATGTTGTGGGTCGGGATACACATACTGATATGGTATTTATTTGGTTGCAGACCGACCTGCGTTTCCAGAGCCATGCAGTGCTGGCACTGCAGGAGGCGGCTGAGGCATACCTTGTGGGTTTGTTTGAAGATACTAACCTCTGCGCCATCCATGCCAAGCGTGTGACTATCATGCCCAAGGACATCCAGTTGGCTAGGAGGATCAGGGGTGAGCGTGCTTAAGTGGAAGGATGGTTGATGGGATGTTTTGTGGTTGATGGTGGTCTGAACTTTTGGGTCTCTTGTTCTTTCCATCCTCAATTAATGTAGGATATAATTTAGTTTTGAAGTTTTAGTGCTTGGGTAGCAGTAGTATGTGGTGGTATCCCTTGGATGCCTGGGTTGGTGGTGTGCAGTGATTGGGCAAACGTTTGTTTATCTGTTGGGAATGGTATTTTGTTGTTAAAGCTGTCTTTGTTGTACACCAATGGTGTGACAAACAATCTTTTATATTGTCATATGAAGTAGGTAATTTGTTCTAATTATTTCGTCCTCCCGGCCCTTCTTTTGACATGTTTTTTTGTTGGATTCTCTAGACTGTTTGGCTGATGTGAAATGATTGTTCCCTTTTCTGTAAAAAATATTGGTCTGGTAAAGAGTGATTTGTGGTTAACAAATGAGAATAATCAAGCATGTTAGTTGATAAGCAGTGTTAAGTTGAAAATCACTGTTCAGTAAAAAAAAATTTCTCCGGCAGCAAATTGCAGGTTTGGTTCCTAAAAGGTTCCAACTTTTGTTGTCGGGTTAGCAATACAATTCACATTCTGTTGTTGGGTTGGCAATAAAATTCACATTTTTTATAAGTCTCTTGAGGATCACCACGGCAACATCTCTGGTTTAATTATGCACTAGAAAGCCTTTGGTTTATTCTACAATACACTAGAACGATCTTATACTACGACAGCAACAAGGGGGTTTTCGAACAACGTGATATGTGAAACTGATTTAATCCGACTCTTCTCTCTCTAAGGAGTCATCCTCCTCTGCTGTAGAAACAAACGTGTGAAAACAAGTTTAAGTGAATTGAAAATCTTTATAACATCATGCTACTGCGGAGACTCTATAACAGAGAAAAAACTGAAAATTTCACGGAGGTGAAGTTGACTCGGTAAAGGAAGGTGACTCAGCATTGAAAAAAGTAATGATAAAGGCGGCAAAACTTTGAATAATCGAGTAAGAGACTAGTTGGGATGAGTAAATGATTGGCGAATTATTCACATTTTAGTTAGCTTGGATTGTAAACAGGCATAATCTGTTCATACCATTTAACTATACTGTCTTAAATAAATTTATATGTAAGTTCTAAAATAACTATCTAAACTAGTATTTTAAAATTATTGTTTTGTATGTTTTGTAAGTTAGAGGCAATTTAGTAATTTGGTTGGATTGAAAGTTATTTTTTGATATTATTTATTATTTGATTGAGTATTATTAATAATTTAAATAATATAACTTTTTTGTTTTAGTAAACAAGTTATCAAATGGGTTAGTGTCGAGAGTTCTTGACACGAATGTTAAACGGGTCATATTCGGGTTGAGGAATTTCGTAAAATACCTTTACGTTGACACGACACAATTATGACTCGCGAATACGAATTGCCACCCCTACTGTACCCACGAATTGGTGATGAATTCAAAAAAAATGAACCCGTAGCTCACGGATCGACAATTCGACCCACTCCACAAGATTTATATATACATATTAAAAAAAGGTATTACTTATCATCTAATGGGATCTAAAAATATATGAATTAATGTTGATAAATTCATAAATTTTTAGTTAATATATATTGGAATTAATGTTGATTAGTTAATGACCATTTAAATATATGAATTAATGTTGATAAATTAAAATTTTATATTAAAAAATAAATAATATTGGACAATTTTTTTAAAAAATCAATCAAATCTAATCCGTCATTTTACAAATCCAATCCGTTCCTCTCCGATCCAATCCGTGGCCAGGTGTGGGTTTGCTCACTACACAATAATGGGACTTGCAGTTTATTGTTTGAGTTTTATCTTCCGGGAAAAAAATAAAATACTAAATAATGGGACTTTCAGGCTGTTCGGTGTTCGAACAACAAATAATTATCTTAAGGAGTAAGGATAGTATTTTTTACAAATCGAGTGTAGTTGAATATTGAAGTATGGGCTGGGTTTTTGTCCAAGGCTATAGGTTTGAATATTGAAGTTCAAGTTAAATAAACTTGGCCCATCCAGGTCCAATTTGCTGCAATCTGTTTTCATCAATTTTGTCTATATTTCATTATTGCCACCCCTAATTTCATCAGCAAGTATATTAGAAAAAAGATAAAATTTTATTTGCAAAATTGCATGTGAGTTAATCTCATAAAGTAAATCGAATTTACATTCTCATTAATATATAATTATATATATAGTTATATACAAACACCTTTACCTAACATTGAGTTATATAGTATTTGTTAGTGAGCCGTTGGTCCGTCCAAATTTCTACCAGTCTGCTAAGCCCTGATGCGTGTCCTCTGCTTTACACGGCAACTCTCTCGCAACTGTATCTCTCTTGTACCTAAAATTCAAAGTCTCGTTGGCCATTCACTTGACCGTTGCTTTACCCGCCACTTTTTCCTTCAATCCGTGAGGTTCCATTCTGCTGAAGATGTTTATCGTTGTAATGTCAAGATTGGATCACTCTCTCGCGCTGGCAAGATTGAAGCTGCCCGCCAACTGTTCGATACAATACCGAATAGAGATGTGGTTTCGTGGAATGCGATCATAACTGGGTACTGGCAAAATGGGTATTTCGAGGAAGCGAAGAGGTTGTTCGAATTGATGCCCATGAGAAATGTTGTTTCTTGGAATTCCATGATCGCGGGTTGTGTTGAGAATGATAGAATAGATGAGGCTTTTGAATTTTTTGGGATGATGCCTGAGAGAAATACTGCATCATGGAATGCTATGATTTCGGGTTTTGTTAGGTGTGGTAATATTAAGGAAGCGAGTAGGCTCTTTGAAGTGATGCCATGGAAGAATGTGATTTCATATACCGCTATGATTGATGGGTATGCGCAGAAAGGGAAGATTGAGCGTGCGAGAGCTTTATTTGATTGTATGCCGTGTAAAAATGCCGTTTCTTGGACCGTGATGATTAGTGGGTATGTGGAGAATGGGAGATATGGCGAGGCGAGGGAATTGTTCGATCAGATGCCCGATAAGAATGTTGTTGCAATGACAGCTATGATCACGGGTTATAGTAAGGAGGGGAAGATGGAAAATGCGAGGATTCTGTTTGAAGAAATTCATTGCAGGGACCGAGTGTCGTTTAATGCGATGATAACAGGTATGCAAAGTATGTGTGGAGATGACATTTAAAGTGCTCAAGATAGAGTACCTGTAACAAACTTGGTGGTATCACTCATGATGACAGTTAAAGTAGGTAAAGAACACTTTTGAATGAGTACCTCAATCATATGCTCTGAACATATTGTTTTCCACCTGTTTATGATATGCCTTCTATTTTCCAATTTAAGTTAGTTTTATAAATATAAGAATATACATTGGTCAGACTCTGATGCAGAAAAAAACACTTTGAAAGGTATACATAATTACTTTTTGTAGCTTTTACATGTGATATATATACATATATATATATATTTTCTTAGTTGGTACTCACACACACATGCCTCCACTCTTAGTTGGTACTCACACACACATGCCTCCACTGAGATTTAAACTCCTGACCTTCCTTTGGAAAGTAGGGGCCGGATACTGCTGGGCCACAGGCCTGTTAGTACATGTGATTTTTTTGTTACACATCCATTATGAGATCCTTGGGATCTGACCAAATTTGTCAAGGCTACATGGCAATTGCTGACAATCGAACTTGACAGTTAGTCTAGGATCCATTCCATATGTTGCTCGACAGAAAGATTACCCTTAGGTCGACTTAGACAGGCAAAAAGATGAAAATTCTGAGTACGTGCATTCACATGTAGAATATTTTGTCTTGAACATGCGTGAATTGAAGTATTTTATAGGATTTGCCAAGAATCTTGTTTTATGTTTGCCTGGCTACCCCCTCACCAGGAGGGTGCCCATTGTTTAGGTGTATCTGGAAGGCTAGGCCACCACCTTGTTAGGTATTACCCGATTGCCTTCTTGCCTAGTTGTGGAAAATATATATAATTTCTAGGTGCTACTTTTGTTTCATAAGAGTGGCTAACAATTTTTTTTTTTTTTTTTTTTTTTTGTTTAATATATTTCCAAATCCACATTGGTGATTTATTTTCTATAAAAGAAATAAAGAGATAAGTGGAAGAAACCCAAATGGTAGCTTCTCCAACCCTTGGAAATCAAGGCTAGTGACTGATGATGCTCATATCCACCTTAGTGATTTCTCCCTGCATGCTTGCACCTTCTTAATTAGAATAAAGCCTTTCATATTTTACAGGTTATGCACAAAATGGGAGCGGTGAGGAGGCATTGAAGTTACACATACAAATGCTCAGGAGTGGCATGCAACCAGATCACTCCACCCTTGTTTCAGTTCTTACTGCTTGTTCTACTCTTGCATCACTAGAAGAAGGAAGACAAACTCATGTACTTGTTCTCAAAAATGGGTTTGACTCGCATGTATCTGTATGTAATGCTTTGATTACCATGTACAGCAAATGTGGTGGCATCCTTGACTCTGAATTGGCTTTTGGACATCTTGACAGTCCAGACCTTGTTTCATGGAACACCATTATCGCTGCTTTTGCACAGCATGGCCTCTATGAGAAAGCTATTTATTTCTTCAAACAGATGGGCTGCAGTGGTTTTGAACCTGACGGGATAACATTCCTTAGTCTATTATCTGCTTGTGGTCATGCTGGAATGGTGAATGAGAGTATGTACTGGTTTGACTCAATGATCAAAAACTACAACATCATCCCTAGGAGTGAGCACTATGCTTGCTTGGTTGGTATTTTAGGTCGAGCAGGTCAGGTTGAGAAAGCCTACAAAATGATCCAAGAAATGCCATTTGAAGGTGACTCGGGGGTTTGGGGTGCCCTTCTTGCAGGCTGTCGTGTTTGTTTAAACGTAGAGCTAGGACAATTAGCCGCTAAGAAGATGGTAGAATTGGAACCCAAGAATTCTGGAGCTTACATTATGCTGTCTAATATTTATGCTGCAGCTGGGATGTGGAAGGAAGTTACTAGGGTGAGGAGCTTGATGAAAGAGCAAGGAGTTAAGAAGCAACCTGCATATAGTTGGATGGAGATCGAGAATAAAGTACATTATTTTTTGGGAGGGGATACATCTCATCCAGATATTGAAGAGATTCAATTAGAGCTCAAGCGGATCAACTTACAAATGAAGTCCATGGACAGAATTGCTGATATTGTTTCGAAATGGAGCTGTTTAAGTTGAAATACATCCTCATTCGTGTATGTGATTTGCCCAAGGAAGAGAAACTTGACCTCAGATGCTCGGGACTTAATTTTAATGTAGGATAAAAAAGTCGAGGAGCAATTTCCAGATATACGAGGAGAAGAATCTTGATAGAAATCATGGTTTGGGATGTGAACAATGGAGGGGTAAAAGTAATGATCCAATGTATCATCCAATAATGGAGCCAGAAGACAGAGCAAACAATGCACGAAAGGATTGGACATCCATGAAATTGTGCAGTGACGAGTTTGTTTTAGGGGTTATTCAGCAACAGTTTGATTTGCAACTAAAAATTAGGTCTGACAAGGTTAGTAGCGAAACAAATGTTGTCATTCTATGCTTTTATTCTCGTGAATAATTCAAGAAATCTGATTTTACAAATATTATGAACCGTTTCTCTTCAGCATTTAGGGTAGAAATTTGAGAATTTAGTCATTATGCATGGAAGGTGATTTGTAAATGTTGGTGTCAGTTGATATTCTCCTTAGGGTTGCCAGCTTAGGGCAGATACCAGGGAACACAAGCAATCAAAAATGACATGACTATGAATTGAACTTCAAGTTGTGAACTTATTTTCTTTTTGCACAGACAGGAATAAGCAGAGTCCAATTATAGAGTTCCCGCCTAATTTTATGTGAGAATAGCCTTCTCTTTCGAAAAAATAAAAATAAAAAATAAAAAAAGAAGGAAATTTCTGGGTAACCTCATGATTATATTATAATATCATAAGGAGATTTTTTCATTACTTGTGTGTAAGCATTCTTTATTAAGTAGTCAATTGAATCTAATTTCATTTGCATATATATATATAGGAAATGGTAGTCTCACCTAACAGTTGTTTTCGGATCTTGTTAGATGATTATGATACTTGGGTTGACTTGTGAATTTGTATATAATTCATGTTCAATTAATTAATCGATCAGGAAGAATGCTTGCATTTATGACATATAAAGCTTCAATTTTCAACAGTGTGATTATTGGATATGTGACTGTTTCTACATGCAATGTGTAGATATTGTTGAAGATTCATTTCATTAATGTTCAAAAAAAAAAAAAAAAAAAAAAAGGGTCTAGTTATGGGGAGCAGTGCCACGAAAGAATTGATTGAATGAAACATTTGGTAAGCCCAAGGCTAGATCTAACATTATTACGTGGCTTATAACGAGTCATTGATCACGAGGGTTAACTAAACTTAATCTAAAATAAAATTTTCTTAACCTAAGTTTCAGTCTAAACCCAATTAAAAAATTATTAGATGATCCAAAATCAATAAATTTTGGCCAATTATAAATTGTCTAGAAAGAATTTTAATTTTAATTGACCGAAATCACATAGTCTTAAACAATCTAATAATTAATTTTTAAAATAAAATTGATGTCGAAATCCAATAAACAATCAAAGCTGAAGCTGAAGCTTAAGCTTCAAGTTATTTTAAATTTTAATTCCATTTAGACTTTGAATTGATGATTTGGATTTATGTTTGGACTGAGCTCTCATTAATGTTCGTTAAGTATTACTGTATTAATAATAATATCTGTGGAATTTAATTAGACTTGGTTTGTTCTAAACGGTACTCTTAAATATGCTTAAATGAGTTAAATCCAAGTTAATTGAGATAAAATGTTTTGATGTAAACCCAACTGACAAAAACAAAAGTTGATTCAATCCCATTCATAGACCCAGTCCACTAATTCAAATAAATTAAGCTGTGTGCGCCGGCGAAAAGAAAGAGTAAACCTCGTGGCCTTTCCGTCAATAATCCAAAATGACAGGTTGATTTGGTCAACTAACACATATTTCTTCCAAATTCCAAAAGTCACCCCCAAACAATTCCGTCCAAAACACTTCTCTCTTTCTCTCTCTAAATCTACTTTTTGTCGTTACGACAAGTTTGCCTTCGTTAAGAGGTTAGTCCGCCAACTTCGGACCTTCGTAAGTATTAACAAGGTTTCTCTCCTTGTAATGTCCTAAATTTTACCCTCTGCACTTTGTTCTATTTTTGTCTCAATTCTTCTGATTTTCCAAAGATAGAACATATACTTAGCCGAATCCTAACATGTCGCGTTCAAAATCAAGGTACTATCTCTTTTTACTCATATTTATTGTATTGTATTTAGATTCAGATATATATACATATAAATTATCTGTATTGTATACTATTTTTGGTTTTTGATTTCTTGGGTCATTTTATTTAGGGATTTCATGCATTTCTTTTGATGGGTTTTACTGTATCATGCTTATACACACACACATATATATAGCTTACATATTATAGAACAATCAATCACCCTAATATCATATGTTTGGCATTGGATTTGATCATATGTGTGTGTATATAGCACATGTTGACCCTAGTGTTATGTGTTTGGGCCGTTTGGCATTGGATTTGATTATATATGTGTTTATATAGCATATACATATATTGTATGACCATCAATCACCCTAATATTTATGTGTTTGGCATTGGATTTGATTATATATATGTGTAGCTTATATATATATATATATATAAACCATCAAACACCTTAATACCACAAATTTGGCATTGAATTTGTGTGATTTACGTGTTTTATAGATCTGGTTATATCGAAATTGGACAAAAGAGCCACGTTTCTGCTCTTTCTAGGACAATCTCTGCAACAAAATTATGCAGAGGGGACGCTTTGGTCTCACAGATTGACACCAAAGCGATTCAATCTCTCCAACGAAAGCCCTTCAACGTTGTCAATTTATCTGAGGTATAAAACTAATTTTTCTGTAGATATGTTTTTTGATTTATATATTAATAGGATTGGGTTTTGGTGTAATATATATGATGATGTTGATGGGGTTTTGTGTAATTCGGTGTAGAATCGGATTGTTAAGATGCAACTGCAAATGGGTGAGCTTGAGGATGAGCTGAAGCGATTGAAGGAGCAACTGGTTGCAGCGGAAGAAGAAAGAGATCGAGCAAACGATGAGCTTCGAGAGATGAAGATTGTGGCTCAGGAGGCTAATATGAGGCTAAGTGAGGCATTGTCGTCTAGGAAGGTGGAGGAGGTAATTTCCGAGCTTAATACTGTGAAACAATCATTGTCTAATTCAAAACTTGAATTGGAGGACAAAGAAAAGATTGTCGAGTCTTTGAAACTAGAACTCGAAAAGGCAAAACAGTTTGAGCTCAATCAGGAAGAGAGAGACGAAGAGTCTTTAGATTGGTTGAATGAGGAATTGAGTAATGTTAAAGCCTCCAATACTCGTTTGGCTGATTTAGTGTCAGAAAGTGAGAAAAGGATTCGGGAACTCGAGGGTGAAGCAGAGAGAGGAAAGCAATCAGAGTCCAAAATGTTTGATACAGTGGTCTCCCAAACAAAAGAGCTTGAGCAAACCAAGATTGAACTTGAAGAATCCAAGCTTGAAATTGCTTCTCTTCGCGATAAGTTGGATCATTTGGGAATTACCTCTGGGCATAGTAGTAAAGATCTTAGTGGATATCACATGGAGGAAGATTTTGAAGGTCTGAAATCCGAGCTCTTATTGCCAAAAGAGAATCTGGCAAGTGCCGAGGAGGATGAGGAAGTTGCTTCTCTGAAGGCCAATAGTCCACTTGAGGAGACAGATTTGCTTAAGAATGAATTGAAGTTGGCACTTGAAGCAGAAGAGAGAAACAAGAAGGCTATGGACGATCTAGCGTCAGCACTGAAAGAAGTCGCGACAGAAGCCAATCAAGCGAAGGAGGAACTCAGCTCAACCCAAGTGGAGCTAGAGCATTTAAAAGAGGAGGCAGAGCAATTGAAGGTGTTGGTAAGGAACACTGAGGATAGGTATCAAAAGCTTTTGGAGGAAGCAAAGATAGAAGTAGAGCGGTATGAGAACACTGTGGAGAGACTGAGATTAGAAGCTGAGGAATCAACTTTGGCATGGAATGATAAAGAAAAGTGCTTTGTCAGTTGTATAAAAAAAGCTGAAGAGGAAAGGACTTCTACACAACAGGAGAACATTAGACTGGTTGAATCCCTAAAAGCAGCTGAAAACATGACTAGGACATCCAAGGAAGAAAATCACAAACTGAGGGACATACTTAAGCAGGCTCTCAATGAAGCTAATGTTGCAAAAGAAGCCGCTGCCATTGCTAGGTCTGAAAATTCCCATCTCAAGGATAGCATAACTGAAAAGGACGAGGCTTTGGATTTTTTTACCCGAGAAAACGAACGCCTCAGGATCGATGATGCTGCAGCTCATGCAAGCATCAAGGAGTTGAAGCGGTTGCTTTCAACAAAGTTAAAGACGGAGGATATGGATAGAGGAGGGAGATTTAAGTCACCACTCTCAGTGGTTGAAGAGCGTATAGAGGGCAAAAACAGGCATAGAACAGCTTTCAGTTTTGATCTACATGAGCTGAAAATTCTGAATGAACATGAAGATGTATTTAAGGAGATTGTATACGAGGACCCTGAAAAGGCCGAGGCACTTAAGGGCTCAATATTTGATAATAACGTAGATACACCAAAATCAGAGCCCCGAACACCAAAACCAGTGTCCCATCACCGAAGAAAGTCTTCGTTCATGGATGATGGAGAATCAACAAATTCAGAAGATCTTGGTCATCTAGATGAGACTCATTCTGATGATGCAGAAAATCATGGGTCACAGAGAAAAATGAGAGCAATGTTACGAAGATTCGGAGATCTTCTTGTAAAAAAGAAAAGTTCCCATAAAAAGGAACCATCCATTGAATAAGCCCTTTTATTTACCTAGATTTACATAGTTTTTTAGTTAATGCTAGAATTACTTATGTAGTTCCTTGTGTAACAATAATTACGAGTCTGTAAATTACATTTGAATATGGTCCATGTCATTTTATGTGATAAAGTTTATGAATGAAATTACTTCTGAGAGTATTGCATTACTGGCGGATCTTGTTTATGTTGCCTTCTCTTCTGAGGAAAATATTTACTGCAAGCTTCCTATGATTGCTGTGGAGTTTTTGCTTCTGTGATGCTATTAGATTCTGATTTTTTTTTTCGTAAGACACGACAATTGATCTTCCTACTCCCGTAGGGTGTTTCAACTTCCAACCTATATTTCATCGGTTTTGCCTGAGAAATTTGCATGTTGAAGTAGCATTAGTGTATGCTTGTAAAGAAATGCTCTCCCGAATTTTCATTGCTATTGTTGGTGAGATTCAATTCGGATTGGTGGCCTAATAATATAACCACCCTCGGCATTTGTAGTTATAATTTTATCTGGTTTTAACAGTTTGTGGATGTCATATGGTGCAAAGCTTCAATCTCCATTCAAGAAGAAAAATAAATAAATAAAAATAGACTACTGCCTGAATCTTGACTGTTCTCTGATTTCTTATATTAATCACAATTCCAAACATTAAATGGACAAATTACAGCAAGTTGTTAGTAAGACACAACATAATGTCATTCAGGATGCCTTTTACCCCCAATTTCATATTTGGTACAACTTGAATAACAGGATAAAACTGGTAGTATATTATTTGGATATCCAGATTGCACTACGAGGTGGCTGGATAGGTGAGAAAAATAGCAAATATAGATATAAGCACAACCATGAAGAATACGTAGTAGTAGTTGAATAAAGATATCATTACCAAAATATAATTAGAGTTCCAAAAGTTCAATCTTTCAGCACCTATAAATATAAATCTTCATCTTTCAACACTATACGAAAGAGATTATTAATCACAACTTTCAGTACAAGACTCAGAGTTGACACTTTTAAATTAATGACTTACAAGACCTGAAATATCAAGAACTATCAATATAAGCAGTTGGGAATTGAGGAATGCCCTTAATCTGTAAAGAATTAGATGCAGAAACTGACTTGGGGCATAATAGGAAACTATTATATAAAAACATAATTTTTGTGAAAAAGTAAAATTTCATTGTGTTTTATGTCAGAAATGTTTTGGAGAAAATACATACGATGAAACTTATTTTTTTAAAAACCCTCTCTTTGTGTCCATCCAAACTCTCAACAGAATTAAATAAAAAAAACAATTCATTACTCCACCTAACCAAACGAAGCTAAGTGAATTCTCAAGACAACTTTTGATCTTTCCACTAACCACCCCACGGTGTTGACAAGGCACACTATTATTTGATGGCTGGGATACGTATAACAAATACCAATTTAAAAAGAGAATGAAAATTGTGGTCGGTGTGATGAAATAAATATAAAATATTTCCCGCTATTTTTTTATTGAGAAAACTATACATAAATAAAGTTAGGCGTTTTAAATAACAAAATAATCTTTTTTAAAAGTTTATTTTTTAAATTGACTGAATTGAATAAAATAATTACAAATGCATTAAAAAAAAATTGTTAAAGTCCAAAATACTTTTTAAGTTCTTATTCCAAAATATCAAAATATCCATCTTTAAATCGTATAATCAAAATACCAAAAAAAAATTAAAAAAAACAATTCCAAGATGTTGTAATGCAATGGATTTTTGACATCAAGCACTCGTACTATGATTTCTTCGGATTTTCTTTATTTTCATGGCTTCCTTAAGGACTCTCTGGCCATACCCGATTAGGTCAAGTGGTCTAATCAAAACTCCCCATTTTGTTCAAAAATTATATAATATTAATTAATTTATTTTTTAAAAAGAATTAAACATTCTAAAAACGGGTTAGCCATGTCTTGAATCAATCTCTCTCACTCAAGCATTAAAATCAATCAACCATCACCTCCGCTAGACTAAATTGATTGATATTCTATCTGCTAAAGGAGAAAATTGCACAGACAAAATGACAGTAGTGGGTTGTTTTTCATACAAACACATCCAATAACACGTACTACTAATAAACATAGTAATAGGTGGAAGTTGTTGTGCCGGGGACTTTGAGGATGGATTTGAGTACCGCCGCAGCGGTGGAAGTTGTTGTGCCGGGGACTTTGAGGATGGATTTGAGTACTGCCGCAGCGGCGGTTGAGGTGATCGTGGATGAGGGTTTGCGATAGGAATGTACTAGTCAATTTATTCGTATTTGCTTGTTCAAACTATGTGATGACACTATAGGCAGGTGCGAGACACTGTCAAGTTACTATACTGGCGAGTTACGGATGCACAATTCCGCATTGTCTGGATAAAGAAAATGTAAAGTGCTTATATGTAGGTGACTAGGTGTCACTCCAATTGGTATGACAACAGGGGCGGGTTTGGGCAAGTGTACCCTTCCCAGCCCCGCAGCCGTTTAAAAATCCCGCCCCCATCCTCGCCCAAAATGGGAGAAACTTTCTGTCCCGTAACCGTTTAACATTTTTACCCATGTGGGTACCCGTCCCGCCCCTTTTAAGACCATAATTTATTTATTGTTGAAATAGATTTGTTTTGTTTTTTTTTTCATCTTCAATTCTTTACTATTGCAACTTTCCTTTTAATCAAATTCATTTGTTACTTTAATATTGTTATTTGGGGTACTTAATATATAATGGTAAATATATATACTAATGAAATAAGAGTTCTTATGTAATTTGCCTATCTAAATGGAGTGGGGCAGGACAGTGCGGGGCAACCTCCCCCCGCCCCTACACCAAACCCGCCTGAATTTTTATTATATCAAACCATTCCTGCCCAAATAAACAAAACGAACCCCCAAAACTGCCAAAAAGGGGACAGGGCGGGTAATCGTGGGGACGAGTTTAATTACCATCCCTAGGTATGAGGCCTTTTGGAATCAAGCCCAAGAGTAAAAACATGTGAGCTCAGGCTTAAAGTGGATAATATCATACCATATGGGTTACTACACTGCATACCGGCGAGCTACACTACATACCTTGGGTAAGGGAAATGTGATGGTAAGGAAAAGGTGAAGTGCTTATATGTAGGTATGTCGAGTAAATTCATGCTGGCTCAAGTTCAAAACGGATAATATCATACTATGTGATAGAGTGGGTTACAAACGAAATCTCAACTATCAATAATTATTGATGTATTTTTTATTATTTTATTTTAATTTAATAAATTAAAAAATGAACTTTTAAAATAAATGATTTTGTTATTTAAGTACTCTTAAAAGCATCCGGATAGAAAAAGTTGAGTATATGGACTTTCACAATTTTTAACGACGTACTAGGCATAAAGTAAAAGGACAGACGTGATGTGTGAAAAGTGGAGGCTCAAATTAGTGGGCCTCACTTGTGGTAATTTACTCAATTGTCCACAGTTGAACAATCAGGTAGATAATATTAATATCTATTGCCAGTACAATATTTTAGTCTCCTTTGTAGTGTTTTTGGTCACTTTTTGTAGGCATCAGCATCAACCATACCATTTGTATATACATTACTCAAATAAATAATAATAAAATAATAAGTAGGTAATGGGAAAATAATGTACCACGCCATAAATCACACTTGATTAAAAAAAATAATAATAAAATAAAATAAAATACCACGTCCACGTCTAACACTACTTATATGTAATTTTTTCATTTTTATTTTTGTTAACTCCGTCATAATAGTAGAAAGCTTTTTTTTTTCTTTTTCCAAGTCAAAGCAAATAAATTATTAAGCAAACAAAAGTTATGGTAAAATCACATTAACTTGCGTTCTATCTTAAGAAAAAAATTTAGGTTGTCAAATTCAAAAGGGACAATATTATCATATTTCTATCAATGTAAGATTCACTTTTTATAAATTCAGACAAATTCCATTCATGTCAAATGTCAATCCCATTAACATTTTTTTAATGTCTCGTCCTTTCAATAAATTAATTATATGATCGATGTAATTAATTTCCAACTTGCATAGTTGATAATATAAAAATAGAAAAAATTACTTGTTAATCTTGCTTTTACCTAACAAGTTTCCTAGTGCTTTTTATAAATAAAAAAAAAATTCAACAAAGTCCTACAACTAATTCTTTTTAATTATATTATAGATATTGCTCACCTGGGTATGCCCCTTGTAATCTGTAAATTCTTTTCAATTATATTATATCATCTTGCTTACATAGGGAAAAAAATAATAAGAAAAGAAAAAGAAAATAAAAGAAAAATATGTTGCCGAACTAGTTTTCTCCAAACAATTCTGCTAAAAAATTGATTGAAAACAAATAATTTAAGGGGAAAAAAAAAGCTTTATTTCAAATTCACGTTATATTTCATATATTAGGATAATTTGGTAATTTTTCAGATAACATTGTCTCAAATGTATAGTGATTTATTTTTGATTCTTGAGATTGTATTTTTTAAAAAAGAAATATGAAGTACAATGTTCAAAAATAATGAAGATAGTTTAATTATTATTCATAAATGTAATGCACGTGGGTCGTTACAAACTGAATCTCAACTATCAATAATTATTGATGTATTTTTTATTATTTTATTTTAATTTAATAAATTAAAAAATAAACTTTTAAAATAAATAATTTTGTTATTTAAGTACTCTTAAAAGCATCCGGGTAGAAAAAGTTGAGTATATGGACTTTCACAATTTTTAACGACGTACCAGGCATAAAGTAAAAGGACAGACGGGATGGGTGAAAAGTGAAGGCTCAAATTAGTGGGCCTCACTTGTAATAATTTACTCAATTGTCCACAGTTGAACAAACAGGTAGATAATATTAATATCTATTGCTAGTATAATATTTTAGTCTCCTTTGTGGTGTTTTTGGTCACTTTTTGTAGGCATCAACATCAACCGTACCATTTGTATATACATTACTCAAATAAATAATAATAAAATAATAAGTAGGTAATGGGAAAATAATGTACCACGCCATAAATCATACTTGATTAAAAAAAAAAAAAAAAAAAAAAAAGAATACCACGTCCACGTCTAACACCACTTATATGTAATTTTTTCATTTTTATTTTTGTTAACTCCGTGATAATAGTAGAAAGCTTTTTTTTCTTTTTCGAAGTCAAAACAAATAAATTATTAAGCAAACAAAAGTTATGGTAATATCACATTAATTTGCGTTCTATCTTAAGAAAAAAATTTAGGTTGTCAAATTCAAAAGGGACAATATTATCATATTTCTATCAATGTAAGATTCACTTTTTATAAATTCAGACAAATTCCATTCATGTCAAATGTCAATCCCATTAACATTTTTAAATGTCATATCCTTTCAATAAATTAATTATATGATTGATGTAATTAATTTCCAACTTGCATAGTTGATAATATAAAAATAGAAAAAATTACTTGTTAATCTTACTTTTACCTAACAAGTTTCCTAGTGCTTTTTATATATATATAAAAAAATTACTTGTTAATCTTACTTTTACCTAACAAGTTTCCTAGTGCTTTTTATATATATAAAAAAAATTACTTGTTAATCTTACTTTTTATATAACAAGTTTCCTAGTGCTTTTTTTTTTATTTAGAAATTTAACTAATATGAATTTTAATATTTTTTAATTAATTTTGTACTGAATGAATTATCAAATTATTAAATCTACAACTCTACATGAATGTAATGGTTTACTTTTTATAAGTTTAATGAAAAAATTAAATTAATAATGTTATAAAAAAAAAAAAAATTCTTCAATTTTTTATTGAGACATTTATTTTAAAACAATTAAAAATAAAAAGTTAAATATATATTTTAAAATGAAGGAAATAATAAAAAATAATTGACATCTAAATAGATTATAAAAACCAATAGATATAATTGAGGAACAATATCGTTCTATTCTATCTATGCGGTGCGCAGCAATTTTCACATGTGAACATCACAATACTATATCCGATTAAACTTTCGATCACGTGTGTACACCTGATTGTAATTAAACACAACGAGTCCCACGTGGGTTCTTATAAAATGGGCACTCAAATAAAGCCCATTGATTATTTTAAGCTTTTAAAATGAACTAACTCTAATTTCTCTTATTACAAACTTGAGTCAATAATTGTATTAATTAAATATAGAGTTGTAATTCACATTATTATTATTTTACATTTCCCAATTTAGATCATGATTCACCTTATGGTTTAATATGAGATGTATGGATGAAAATTTCACTTTTTTTAAAGTTCAATACATGTTTTGTATCGTTTAATTGATACTGATTATATTCAAATTTCATTATACCCTTATCGATATTGATTTTGTCCAGAAAAAAAAAAAAAATTATCGATATTGATACAGTGATGGTAACAGATCATGCTAATCATTTCAGACCTCAAATCGAAATCACACAAGAGCCGCGTGGGTCCCACAGGACGCACATATCAATTAAACCTTATGCTCCACCCAAGTAATACGTGGCACGTGGTTAATAGGCACCGCGTTTTTGTACAATCTATGGGAGCACACTCTAAACCCCTCCTTTGCCTTTATTTATAGCTTCCTCTGCTCGTTGCCGAATCAAAACATTTCCAAATACAGAGAGAAACAAAGTTTCTAGAGAGAGAAAATGTCATCTGTAATGAAGTTTTCTTCTCAGGAAGGCGGTCATGAAGAGGGCAACGAACGCCTAGATCTCCTCCACGTATCTGATCCAACGGTCAAGAATCTCTCACTTCCATCCGACACTTTCCTGAAAGCTGCCATCTCTCTCAAGAACCAGGTATGTGTCGATTTTCTAGCTCAGTGTGGCGGTGGTGTAGGTTAAGTTCGTATCACTATCACCCCCGGAGCGCGTTAACTAAAGCATGTCGCTTCTTTCTTTTCTGTCCGATATCAGGGAGTACAAGTAACGTGGGAGGGAGGGTGTGAGGGACATAGCAGTAATTGCACGGACCCAACTGTATACACGGGTTTGCTCGGGACAGCTTTCACCTGCTTGCGGTCGTACGAGGCTACCGGTAGTCACCAGGACCTGCTAGTGTGCGCCGATATCGTCGACACGTGTGCTTCCGTCGCACGTGCCTCCTCAAGGTTCTTATGTTTTACTGTTAACAATGTTCATCTGCTGGTGTTTGTGTTCCTCACTTTTCAGAGTAAAATTGGAGATGTTGTGCACTGCACTATAATACACCAAGCTTGGTGCACTCAACACAATTAAATCGAGTTTAACACAGGAAATTCTTCCAGATTTAACTTGTTGAAAATAAATTTAATTCCGTTATTTCAAAATTTATGAAACCAGTTCAAAAACTCTTTTACAAAATTATAAAACTGTAAATTATATACTAAGAAAACTGGATCAAGCATGTCCATACTCACTAACCTATCCTCAAAAAATTTCGTAGAATAACGCTGGCAATGAGTATTAATTTAGCTTCTATTGTATGATTTTAGTTAAATTATGAAATTCATGTGAAATGATAAGGACAAATCTGATATTTTATTTTGATTTTTGTTGATATAAATAGATTTGTGAGTTCCTTTGAGTCTTTGACTCATGTTGAACAAAAACTGACTAATTAAACATATTTACTAAATTCTTAATTTCATATGGAAATTGAGATATCCAGTTGGTAGGTTGGTCCAGATTGGTCCCCTAATCACTTTCTCATCAAATAGTGGACCTTGATTTTGTGGATTGAAATTGATTATGATGTTAAATCAAATAAGTGGAACATTCATGTCACACATCTCGGACGTGTTATGTGATTTTACATTTGTAGAAAAAATCACGTTCAGTGACAAATAAGTCTTCGTAATAGATTGATTTTTAATTTTTTAATTTTTTAATTTTTTTTTTTCCAAAAAAAAAGAGAATATGCTATGACATATATGTTGACTCTTGAGAGATGGGCGGGATATTGATGAGGTTAGTAACAGAGATGTTTTGGTTTAACCTAACACCCAGGCATGTGACTTTCCTGTGCGGTAGAGGAGGGGTTTACGCCCTTGGTGCCGTGGCTGCAAATTACATTGGGGACCATGCAAAACGAGACTTGTTTTTGGATCATTTCCGCGAGGTACTACTCATATGTGTATATTTATTGCGGTTTAGAAATTTCATCTCAGTTTTATATCATATATATATATGTTCAGCAAGTGACATATAGGTGGATGGGTGTTGGTGTAGTTATGGACGGACCTAGAAAATTATTGGAGGAGGCAATAATGAATTTTTTTATAATTTTAGGAGAGTAATGGTAATATTTTATAGGTATATAATTGAAAAAAACAAATTAATAAGGAGTATATTACTAAAAAAAATTGGAGGGGTTAAGGACGGATTCAGAAAATAATGTGAGGGGGGGGGGCAATAATAAATTTTTTATATTATTTCAGGGGGCAATGGTAATATTTTATGGGCATATGCTTGAAAAAAGTATATTAATAAGGGTATTTTACTAAATAAAAAATTCGTGGGGGCTAGGTCCGTTCCTAGGGGCAACTGTAGGTCCGCGTGTGGTGTTAAGGTTGCTTTATTGTAACAGGAATTTATGAATTTGAAATAGATAACAACTTTTTCAACTGTGTACATCAGATCTACAGAAATCGACATACCTTAAAAAAATATTTTCTTGGACCACAGTGTGTTAATACCATCTTGAAATATCTGTGGATTTATTTATCTCCCAATCAATTGAGTAAAAGAATTGGAAAATATCTGATAAGCTTTGTTTATCTATCATACACACTCATGCGACAAAAAATTGTCAATTTGGTCATTTTTGGTTGTACACGAAACCCACATGGACACCTGCTCTAGTTGTTTGGCATAAAAATCTTTATAACTGGCTGAGCTTGTTATGTTCTGATCTATTGATTTTGACCTATCCTATTGAAGTTGCTGTCAAAGTTTATATGCGAATCCTCCATATTTAAAAAATAATAATAAAAATAAAATATAAAAAAATCGATTTCATGGTTTATACCATAAAAGACTTATGATACGCATAAGAAAAATTATCATCAGATTTATTGAGGCTGATTTCAAAGGGTGATGCTAGTTGACTAAATTTGAATTCATTCATTGAAAATTTAGGTAACATAAATAGATGGAGTGGTTAAATTTGTGAATAGGCCTTGTATCAATTGATTCTGTTCAGTGTGATGAAAGTGAGAATAGTTTGAAAACTTTTAATGGAAAGTATCAATTTTCTTTTTTCTTTTTTTGTTTTAATTTGTAAAATGGCAAATTCAAATATTTACACAGGAAGTTAGCTCATGATATCTGCAATGTCAATGCATTTTCTAAAAACACAAAGAAAAATTAGCTACGTGCATGTAGATTCATCACGACGTGGAAAACTCACAACCCTAGCCCACATGCATTCTGGTATTAATGTAGACATTGTCATGATTATTATTTCTTGAGGTTTCTTATACCATTTTTCGATTGATCCTTTATTTATTTTTTTTAAGTGGATGCATGATTTTGCGATCAAAGACACTTTCAAATAAGAAAAAAGATTATGAGAATCTACTTGTCGCTTTACAGCATGTGGTCGGTGGTCCTAAACCTTATCTTCTTTTATGGTGGAATCTTGTCATTTTAGTATGTTTGAATGTGCATACAATTAATGAACAAATTATGGAGTTGTGTAATGTGGAGGACAACGACCTTAGTCACATAATTCGTGTAGCAGGGGATCGTTTTGGGATTTGAATTTGCGAATCTAGAGCGAATTCAGCGAAAATTCGCAAATTCAATTTTTGGAATTGGTGAATTGAAGTTTCGAGAACGAGAATTCAAAACAAATCCCTTCAATAGCATAAGATTCCCTCAATTATCCATTCAATGGTTGTAACTGTGCATTCCACTTCCTTTCCCTTAATTATTCATCATACGTACGTGCATTCCACTTCCCTTACTAGAGACATTCCCTAGATTTTTTATATGTAAATGAATACAAAAATAAATTCTATACAAGGTAAACCGGTTCATCTAACTATTTGGCAACTTTTTGTTTTAGTATAAAAATTCGCTAAGTTATATATAATTCTAAATAGATTATCAAAAGGTAATTTCTACGTACTACTAATTTTAAGAATACAGAGAAAATAATTTTTAATAAAGTGATATAATTTGAAAAGTATAAATGCATAATATATATATATATATATACAATATGTATATATATATATGTGTGTGTGTGTATATATATATATATATATATAATATGTAGACGCTCCGGCTCTCAAATATTTTAGATTTTGGCGCTCTCGCACTCCTGCTCCTGCTTTATGTGACTTAGACAATGATAGATCGATGTTGTTAAGCAACAAATTAAATTTGTGCAGTGTTACTGCAGATTTAGAAAATGAAACAGTCGTGCCATATTGTGGGAAGCATATGCCAACACAAGAGTCTTTTACCCCACGAAGCAAACCCCACAAGATGGTTGATGAATTGGTCACTAGTGGGATATTAGGAAATTGTCTGACATTCAAGATAAGAGTTGTTTGCTCCATTATTGTGATTGGTGGGGACTAATATGCCTGGCTTTAGCTTTCCGGAGACATCACCAGCTGTTGGATCGCTTGTCATTATCATTATCGAATTTCCTTTGTTTGTGTACAACATTTTTTGAATTTTTTTTTATCAAACTGTAAGTTCGATCTAGCTATACATTTCTCTCAGCTGGATGGATTAAGCATGTCTCAAGTGTTGCTTAAACTAATTTGACTTCTTGGGACTGAACATTACATTATTATTATTTTAATTATCAACTATTTCCTTCTCTTTGCACTTCCAAAGTCAATCCTAAGCGATGGTTTGTTTTCGGGATCAAAATTGGCTGAGGGAAGCCGGAAGAAAAATACCTCCATGATTTTCAGAACTTTGGCATGAACTCGAAGCATACAAATACTTAGCATTTTTAAATATCATGTTTTACCAATACTAGAAAGAGCCAAATTGAAGTTCATTGGGAGCTTTACACATAATGGTGCGTTGGGTTGTGCATTTTTATCCATAAGTAAACTATATCTATTGAAACTGTTATCGCACTGAAAATCTTCGGTTAGTACTATGATAATTTTGTGTTTATTCCTGACCACTGCAGTCGATGTTATGAATATAGTAATGGCCGTGTCTAATATTTGTCTAATTCATCATTCACAGGTGGCACAAGAGAGAGCCCTCCCAATTGGACCCGAGGAAGGTGGTTTTGGAATGTCATATGATCTTCTTTATGGGCGAGCTGGGTTTTTATGGGCTGCTTTGTTCATAAACGAGCACCTTGGGCCAGATACATTGCCGTCTGGCTTTCTTATGCCAGTTGTTGAAGCCGTCTTAGCCGGGGGCAGAGCAGGGACATCTGATAACACGGCTTGCCCACTGATGTATAGATGGCACGGGACGAGGTACTGGGGTGCAGCACATGGTCTTGCAGGGATTTTGCATGTGTTACTTCATTTCCCACTCTCCCCAGAGGATTCTGAGGATGTTAAGGGTACTTTGAGATACATGATGAGTAATAGGTTCCCTCATAGTGGAAATTACCCCTCGAGCGAAGGGAACCCAAGGGACAAGCTGGTGCAGTGGTCTCACGGGGCGACAGGCATGGCAATTACACTTTGCAAGGCGTCGCAGGTTAGTAGCTCTGAGCTCTGAGTTTATTTGAACTATTGAAAAGAAAAAATGAGAAAAAGAAAAAGAAAGGAATTTGGGTGTTAGAATTCTGCTTATGATCAGAAAAGACTATACGAACGATAATCTAGTGGAAGGTTCAAAGATGAAAATCAAGCGGAATTAGCTCTTTACAAGAGAGAGTTTCAGAAACTTTTTTAATGTGACATAATTATAATCTGAAATATCATGAATTTTACGTGTAAGTTATTTATTTATTTTGGACAGATTTACAGGTAATATGAATACTTTCAATTTTCTAATAATCCCCATAATTATATATTGGTTGCTTCAGATGTTCCATTTTATGAATGCATTCTCATCTTTGTTTGGTAACGGAATGATGTAGTGTATAGGTTACCTGATGTAATTACAGACTAATACTCTGCTGAAATTTTAACATAATAACAGAATGTATAAATGTACTACTGCAATGTTTGGTAGCATGGAATTAGAATGAGAGAAAAATTAATTTGAACTTTAAAGTAACTTTTCTCCAATTCGAATTTCAAGACATCAATTCCATGCTACCGAACATAGTAGTCATGTAGTACATAATAGCTTTAGGTGTATGTGTTGCTAAATTAAATCCATAATTACAGACCAAATGAGATTTATACTTTGACATTTGCAGGTGTTTCCGACTGATAGGGAATTTCGCAATGCTGCCATAGAAGCAGGGGAAGTTGTGTGGAAGAGTGGGTTGGTAAAAAAGGTGGGACTCGCGGATGGTGTTGCAGGCAATGCTTACGCCTTCCTTTCCCTCTTTCGGCTAACAGGAGAGAGCATATACTTGGATAGAGCCAATGCATTCGCGAGCTTCCTGTATCACAATGCAAGAAAGCTAGTGACCGTGGGACACTTGCGGGAGGCTGACCAAGACTATTCCCTTTTCCAAGGCCTTGCCGGAACAGCTTGCCTCTGGTTCGATCTGCTTGCACCAGAGCGCTCAAGGTTTCCCGGGTATGAACTTTAGGCTCAGTCGAGTCGAGGGAGGTTGAGAGTGCTGGAGCCTTAGGTTGACAATGAAAGAAATTGTAGTATGTCTCTAAAATAGAAGATAACTCGGACTTGTATATGACCAGATGTATGTTTTAAACAAAGCGCTGTAAAATATATCAGATGCATTATTAATATATGAATGTTCTGGCTAGGTTATTGTGGCCAGTCAACAAATTATATGGTTGTGTTCAAGTTGGGTTATTCTATCATTGTGTTGATATGGGAAGAAATATACTACCAAATAGTAGTCTGAAATCATGCTGTTCCGACTCATTACTACAAGTCATTCAACCAATTAAATGTGTGAGTTTTATTGAACTTTATAATTGAAAGACTTGTTGTGATTGAGCCGAAGATTCGAATTCATTGTTATCAAGGTCTGGAATCATGATTCACTAGAGAAGTAAATGGTCAATATTAAATCATACGAGCTACATTCCATTCTGTGGTTCGCGTGTATGGTCTGACGTTGAGGTGTAATTAAGTTTTGGGTCGACGTTTGAAGGAAGCAAGTGTGAGCCCAAGCAAGAAAAATAGTGCAAGCTCGTTGGCAGTAGAAAAATATGATGAATTCTGAGTTGTTTTGTGTAAAACAGTCAATTGAGAGGTCTGGTTTTGACTTTGAAATCTTTAATTTTTAATTTTTAATTTTTATTTTGAAAAAGCATTGACCCAAAGAAGCACATCCCTTCAACAACCAAAGTTTTGTATTTTCGCTTTGACCTAAAGCAGATGCAATGTTTTAGCTTTAAAGTGTTAGAAACTTGTTTAATATCATTTATTTATTGTAAGATTTTTAAAAATAAAGCATGAAAATGTATTTGGTTAAAAGATTTTTTTTTTAACAATGTTTTTGCTATAACATGAAAGCAACCAAAAACATCGATCTTTTACTTTCAGTTTTGTCCTTTTTTTTATTACGAACGTATCGATATTATTTAAAGAACAATCAACGTTACCAAACTTTGGTGCATTTGTTTCACTACAATACACTAACAAAAATAAAATTGAAATTAAACACGTGTTTCATTATTTAAAGATAATTTTTTGTTATTCTGATTATTATTATTATTATAATTTTTTGAGGTGAAGCAAACTGGCAGGATAACACTCGAACTCTCAACATGGTCTAGAGAGGAGAGATCATACAATTGGAGTAGTGTCCCGATAGTCATTTCACACTCAACAATAACAAGTGCTTGGTTGCTATGCTGCCGAACTTTATTAAAAGCCAATTGTCTTATTGACGTCTGTAGGACTTCAACTGAGACACGAGATGGCCAAGGTACACACGCTGTCGTGAGCATCTGGTTTGATACCTAAACCTTTCCATGCAAAGCCAAGGAAATTGGAATCACAGTGACTAAATCCAGAAAGATTAATTTACACGTGTCATTCTGAAAGACGTCGAATCACAGTGGACTATAAATATGTAAAGAAAAAAAGTTTTAAAATATTATATTAGCTTTTTACCTTTTATGTTTAAAATTTAAAATGGACAAATGGCATTATATCACTGTGACAACAATAGTATGAGGAGGTGAAGGCAAGTACTTTTTACTTATTTATTATTGTTATTATTCCCTCAGTCTCATATTAAATATCTATATTTAGTTTTTATAACTTTTATAATTAATGTATTATTCCATTTTAAAACTATCAATTTGTTTTTTTTTTTTGTTTGTATATATATATATATATATATATTATTAAGTTTAAATTTTTTAAAAAATATAAAGAATAATAATAAAAAGATGACATTTATTTACTTTGATTTTTCTAAGAGAATAATTAATTTGAAATATCTAAAAATGAAATAGTGAACTTGAAAGAAAGATAGTATTATTTTTTAAGTTAAAGTAAATAGGTATTGTTCACAGTATATCCTGTCAAATTGTGAGTCACGATTTCACAAACACAATATCTAAACGAAGGTAGCAACAAACATATTTTTCTCGAGACAAAAAATAATATATGTTACCCACTTATTTGAAAAAAAAAACTGCTTTCGATCTCTCGAAATTGACATATTTTGAAGTATTGATTATAAATTTGTACTCCCTGTATATATCTAGAACGTCACATAAATAGAATAATGTTAAAAAAATTAATGCACTTCATTACTATTGCAACTCGAGCAGGTCGGAGAGATTGAATGCTTGAGGCTCACTCGAAATATAAAATTAGATTGAACCTAACTCTAACTTTACCTTTTAATTTAACTAACCAATCAGAGTTTAATTCATTCTTAAATTTTTAAACTTGAATTTATATTTAGATTTCAAGTAAAAAAGTTAAATTAATTCGGGATTACTCATATAATTAATCTCCACAATAAAATTTTAATGTGATATTGAATTAGTTTTAAATTAAATAAAAAAATGAAAAACAAGTTCTACCCTAATTAAGTTTGGATTAAGTTTTTCAACCCCGACCCAACTCTACTTATAAAAATGATCGTACAAGCCAATGAAAAATCAGGATTCGACTTAAATTGAATCGGGATTGCCCAACCCAAATTACATTCCAACTTACTTGTTCAGAAGTTTTTTTTAATTATTGTCCCTCCTTTCACCTCCAATGTGCCCTAACAAAAACATGATTTTGTTATTGGTCTAGTGCACTAAAAATATCTGTTGTACATTAAAAATATGTTATGCAATGTTTGGTAGTAAAATGCACTTCACTTTTTCTTTTTCTTTTTTAATTTTTTAATATCACCAGGCAAAAAAAATCTTGACCTTCAAAATTCAAATCATAAGGGAACAATTTTAGTGTTACATAAGTTAAGCTTTTTCTTCTTTTATTTCCCTAATTTTTTATTTTTTATTTTTTATTTTTTATTTTTTTTATGAATTGAATTAGGAACAGGTTGTGTTTAATGTTTTCGTTTTTTTCTCAGGTTCAATGTTTATCACCTTGCCACGATATAATGTTGTACAGTATGAAAAAAAAAAAAAAAAAAAAAAAAAAATGTTGTACAGTATTATTGTGTATATACAGGACAATAATTTTTGAATGACAGCATCCCAATCATATCTGGGCCCACCATCGAATTGCTTACCTTCATTGTCACCGTCCACGTCAATTTTCCTGACGAACCCTTCCCCTCGGGAACAGCAAATATTTCTCAACCTTCCTTCCACCACTAAATTCATGTACCCAACTTCGACTCAGAACAATCTGTACTATACTCGCCTTTATATCTCGACACCTATACATATTGGTCATTTTACCAAAATAGCCCCAGAGTTGAGCACTCTTTGGTTTGCACTGGCGTGTACGTTTTATAAACGTACCCTAGGACGTATTAATTAGGGATGCCACGTCGGACGCAACTTGTTTCGTTTTTCACAAACTTATAACCTCTAAAATTGGGACACGTGTGACCGTGCTGCTCTCTCATTCATTGCTTGTATATAATGAACAGGTCGAGCAAAGACCTGGACAAGTGATTAATCAGAGAGATTTACATCTCCTCCTCCTTTGTTAGCACTATGGAGATGCCTAACAATTTGAAGTAGACATACATAGAATGAGGATATAGATATACATATATATGTATATATATATAGAGAGAGAGACAATTTGTTAAGTAGTCATATATGTTTGAAAGAAAGCTGATTACAAAATGGAACGTTACGAGATTCTGAAAGATATAGGGTCTGGGAACTTCGGTGTGGCCAAGCTGGTTAGAGAGAGATTTACTGGTGAGCTGTATGCTGTCAAGTATATTGAGAGAGGCCAGAAGGTCTGCTTCATCTTTCTCTCTCTCGCACACACATGCAAACACACTCTGTTTATTTGTTTGTACGCTTAACTGGGGAACGTAGTGTCATTTTTATGTGGGTTTTGCAGATAGATGAGCATGTGCAGAGGGAGATCATGAACCACAGATCCTTGAAGCACCCCAATATCGTTAGATTTAAGGAGGTATTTGACTAATTCACCTATTTGTAACGGTCATATTTCCTTCTTCATATTGGCTTCTCTTTTTATTTATTTATTTTGATAATTCATATGGGCATGTTTTGTTAAAGAGGTCAATATATCTAAAGAAGGTTTGTAGGATTTTATTTTATTTTTATTAATTGGGGTTTTGCCCAATTTGAAAGAGCATTCAAGAGTACGATGATATATATTTCAACTAATATATATATATATATATATATATATATATTTATAGCTCCATTTGTTTTGAGTCCTTCCTCTTCTTTCATCTGTGCACCGAAGATATAATTGGTGTATTTAATTGTGTCTACCATAAGAGTGGAAAAAATAGTTTTTAAGTTTAGAACTTATAATAAATGAAAATAATTTTCACATATCAATTCAAAGTATAATTTGTGTTCTTTTGGTTGTGGGGGATAATGGGCTTTATGGGTTAGATTCTGTGAATCAGATACCTAACTGCAAGTTGAAGATGAACTGTTTTGCAGGTCTTGCTTTATGGAGTACTATAATGACACTGAAAAGTATATGGTAAAAGCTATTCCGACTTTAATTTGTTCAATGCTAAGCTATTCCTACCTTAATTGGTTCAATGTTTCGAATTTAATTTCTTCACCAGTGTGGTCATGTAAAAGTTTCTCTTCCTCTCACATAAACATTCAATAACCTATTTTGTGGTTAATTTGGGTAAAACTTAAATTACTAGAAAGAAGAAAGGGGAAAAAAAAAAAAAAAATTTGCACCAGTCATGTCACTAGAGTTCATAAAACTGTGAAACCATGGTTAATTGTTGTTCTTTGTTCTGCAACAAGTAATAGTAAATCCTTTCATAATTGGTTCAATTTCTAATACTCTGCTTATGGCGGGAACAGGGTACTCTCTCGCATTTGCTTCCATAAAAGTTGAAATTTTAAAGCGCTTTTGCCGTGCAGGTCCTGCTAACACCAACTCATCTAGCCATAGTAATGGAATATGCTGCAGGAGGAGAACTTTTTGAGAGAATATGCAATGCTGGTAGATTCAGTGAGGACGAGGTAAATTAAAGTGGACAAATGATATACGCAAATATTACTTTGCCAATTGTATAGACCATTAACTCTTTCAATAGTTTAGAAATCATTTGATTGGATTTCGAAAAACATATGAATTGTTTTTTTCAATTGATGGTGTTCTTTGCTAAATGCTTCCTTATCTGTTCGTGTGTTTTTCAGGCGCGGTTTTTCTTTCAACAACTAATATCAGGGGTCAGTTACTGCCATTCAATGGTACTATTCTCAATTCATTTTTGATTTGTAATGGTTCACTCCTTTGTGTGTGTATATATATATATATATGCACTTTAGGCTAGTGTATTGAGCTGAATGTAAGATGTCCAATTTGTTGCAGCAAATTTGCCATAGAGATCTCAAGCTGGAAAATACACTCTTAGATGGGAGCTCAGCACCGCGTCTTAAAATATGTGACTTTGGATATTCCAAGGCAATGAACTTACAAAATTCTTCGAAACTCAATACAGCTTTATCTGCATTCAGATTTCAGATACTAACTGTTGAACTTCAATTTTTTTCAGTCATCTGTGCTGCATTCTCAACCCAAATCTACTGTGGGAACTCCGGCCTATATCGCACCAGAGGTCTTATCAAGAAAAGAATATGATGGGAAGGTAATATTCATAACCAATGTAGAACTTGAATCGATTTTTCGGCATTATTTATTTTATTTATTTTTCTTTTTCTTGTCACCTGTTATTAAATCCAATGTTAGAACCTAGTTTGGTCACCTAATATTCGTAACCAATAAGTTATCCTTGTGATCTATAGATTGCAGATGTTTGGTCTTGTGGGGTAACCCTATATGTGATGCTGGTTGGTGCTTATCCCTTTGAAGATCCTGATGATCCGAGAAACTTCAGGAAAACAATTAATGTAAGTTATAAGTAACACCAATTTAAAAATACTTACTGACTTGTTCATATTTTACCTTCTGTTGTTATTTATAACATAACACAAATGGTTTATGGCAGCGGATACTTAGTGTCCAATACTCAATTCCAGATTACGTCCGAGTTTCCATGGAGTGTAGACATCTTTTATCTCGTATATTTGTAGCCAACCCCGAAAAGGTCATTTGCGTTCTAACTTTTACATTTCTGTGCATTTTTCTAAATCGTTGTTATGTTGTATTCATTTGAATTATATTTTCTATGTAGAGAGTAACAATACCGGAAATTAAAAAGCACCCTTGGTTCTTGAAGAACATGCCGATAGAGTTCATGGAAGGAGAGGAAGCTAGCTTAGAAAGTACTGAATCAGATAAGCCATCTCAAAGTATTGAAGAAGTGTTGGCTATCATCCAAGAGGCTCGAAATTCTGCAGGGGGCGCCAAAGTTGGCGGGCTTTTTCTTGGAGGAAGCATGGATCTAGATGACATTGATGATGCCGATATAGATGATGATATAGAGACAAGCGGAGATTTTGTGTGCGCTCTGTGAGTGCTTTGTTCGTATCATGCTAAAAATGTAATTCGGGATAGAAAGCTAAGCTAAGCTAAGGGAATCAAATTATCTGTTCATTAGATAATATGTCGTTTGAAACCAGGGCTTTGTTGTTTCTCACTTGTGTACTATGTAAAATTGTCAATAAAACTACTTTTCTAAATGGAAGTTGGATAATCTTGTTATATATTGTATTAAAGCATGTGTTGACAATCGCCATTAATTATAATTCTATAAATTGATACGAAGTGTGGATCAATGTGTTTATATATAATAGGTTGATGTTTGATATATATATATATTATAATATAATATTACACAAAGTAACACAAAAGTGTTCTATCATCTTGATTAAAAAAAGTTGGACCATTAGTACAAGAGATATTTGTTATAAGGTAGGCAATTAAAAACTCCTTGGTGTATGGAATGTATGTGTATTAATAAAGAGAATCCAATAGAAAGTCACTTTGTTGGAGATATTTGATTGATGGGTTCATTTAGATATGTTGTTGATGCCATAGAAAATGATCTGCTACTTACTGGTGTGACATAATATTTGGCCGTTTGCTACTAGTGTCGTTTCCTACAATTAATTATCATACGTTTATAATAAAAACCAAAGATTAGATTAAAATTTTTGAAAAAATAATCTGGAACTTATTGGAGAGATGTGTAGTTTAATCTGAGATATTATACTGATACTAACTGAGTAAACAAATGGTTTTGGGTGATTCTATCCAAGCAGATGAGGCAAAGCCATCAACAATATAGCTAGAGACCTATGCTACACAATGCACAGTGATGTACTGATGTGGACATGAGCTTTATCCAACCAAGATTCTAATATGAAAATATCCAACCAAGTTATATACACCATGTTATTAGAGAAAACTATATATATATATATATATATATATATATATATATATAGTTTTCTCTAATAACATATATATATATATATATATATATTGTAGTTTATTATTAGAAAACTTGTGCCTGTTTCTCTCACTAAGCCACCCCAATAGTGATTGATCCAAGATAATTAACCTACATTGCCTTTACTTTGTATCCATCCAAGGTATATGTTTATAGCTTAAGTTAACAAACATGACAAATCCCTAAATGGAGGTCATACCATGTATGGATCTTGGGGTATGAATTATGAACATGAATATGATCCATCTACCTTAAGGGGTAAAAGAGTTCTTAGAAATAGGGCTGTGTTTGGCGGTATGGAATTGAAGTCTTGAAATTAAAATTGATTGAATCGGAGAAAATTTTAGTTCAATTTTATAAGTTGTTTTTCTCCAATTCCAAAGTTCCAATTCCATCACGCAAACATAGCCTTGGAATTTATGAATCGTAACATTAAAGTATGAACCAAAAACATAACAAATTGGTGGATGGGACCATTTTATTATCAATTTTAAGATAAGTTTATCATAAATAGTGACTACATACATGTTGAGATAAGTATGCATTCTCATTTTGATTAATTTATTATTTTAGAATTATGTTTTATTCTCAAAAAAGTTTAGGTGAATTGTTGATTTTATATCTGATAGACTTTTTAGACCATCAAGTCGCATCCTTAATTGTTGATACATACCTTAAAATACCATATAAGGGAAACTCTTTCAACCAAAACTTAGCATTATCTATTCAAATACAGTAATACGCATTGTCCATTTAGAGACTCAAACTCACATCAATGATAATTGATAATACTGTTGTGTTATTGAAGGAGCAGAAAGTGGACCGGTCCATCTTTGGGCCAGTCCACTCAATTCAGAACACTACTGGGCTGTTGATTCACTTTCAGAATGACCCACCAGGACCAAATATATACTCAACCACTTCCAAGCCCAATCTTTTCAGCGTTGCAAAATGGACTTCCATTCACTACGGCCCAAAGATGAGACCCATTGAAGATTGGTCCAGGTTTGAGACTTTTGGGAGAGGTGTTAGGGCAATTGTACGCTTCTATAAATAAAGAGAGAATGTAAAGGAGGATTGATTGAAGTGTAATAGATTACTTTCCTGATAGAGAGCAATTTCTTACACCTTCAGTTATGAAAATGGTTGTTATGATCACGTAAATGGTGTAATTCAAATTGATAATATATATATATACACACACACACACACACACACACTGCACACTATATGTTAGCCATCACTCTAGTAAAATTGAGAGTGCCCAGATCTACTTCAAAAACCCAAATAGAATATGGAAAAACTTGTTAATATTAGCCACCGTCTATGAATTGTAAAACTTTCAAAATTATCAGAAGTCCCAACTAAAAATTCACTTCATCTGAGTTGGCTGCTTCTGAAATTTTATAAAATTATTTGGTGTTTAAAAAATAATAATAATAAAAAAAGCTATATCAATAAACTAATTCTAAAGTTGCCTGTTTTACACTTTAGTGGGCCAAAGGCCCAGATCTACTTCAAAACCCAAATAGAACATGGGTCAATTTCTGGTAATATTTTATAGATCCATTCTCATAAAAAAGCCCATAACAACCCTACACTGTTATACTATAAAGTACCGGAGCCACCAACAAAACCCTAATTTCTTTGCGAGCAACCCTGAGCAAGAGCTAGAGCACCTCTTCTGCATCTCGGCGGCTCACTCTCTGCTGCATCGAAGATGAAGGTTTGATCTGAGAAAAGCCCTAACACTCAAATTCAGTTGTCTGTATACCTTTTAACACACACCTGTTTTGTTAAACATTCGATTTGTTTTTCATTTTGGTGTTTTTTCAGTTCAATATCGCAAATCCAACCACAGGGTGTCAGAAAAAGCTCGAAATCGACGATGACCAGAAGCTGTAAGAAACCTACCGATTAATTTCATATCAAATCTTGTTGTCGTTTCTATACATCCACTGTGTGTTTAAGTGTAGATAAATATTTATATTTTTGTGCAAATTTCGCAAAAAATTTATTCATTATTGGATTTATACAACCTAGTCTATCAAATCTGATCCTCTTTGTGACTTTGATAGTGGGAGTCACCCAGAAGGGAAAATAGATATGTTGTTTCTTCAATAAATGAGTTCTGCTTTGTTTGTTGAAATGTTGAAAAAAATGAAAGCATTGAATTTTGTGAAGATTTGAGTTAGAATTTGCTCTTGATGAACATTAGGCTATGGCGTTGAACATCTGAAATTTTCTGATTGATGTCTAATTAACAGAAATGGTTTTCAACTTCTTAAACTCTTTTAAGTGGTCATATTTTGCTACATGGGATTTGGGACTCCCTTTCTTTTAGAAATCTCCTGTTGGATAAACTCTTAAGATGTTGTGTTTTTATCTTTTCTGTGCTTCCCGTGCCTTTTTTGTTCTTGACAATGTTTTAAGTAAATTGTTGGAATATTTGGCTTGAATCATCCATGGTCTTTTTACTCTTATTATTGCCTGTGGTATGCTGCAAGGGATATGAACATTATGTGCGCATATTTATAAAGGCATTTTGATGTTGTGTTTTTATCTTTTCTGTGCTTCCTGTCTCTTTTTTTGTTCTTGACAATGTTTTAAGTAAATTGTTGGAATATTTGGGTTGAATCATCCATGGTCTTTTTACTCTTATTATTGCCTGTGGTATGCTGCAAGGGATATGAACATTATGTGTGCATATTTATTAAGGCGTTTTGATGTTTTTGAAAATGCGTATAATGATGTCATATAAGGTGCAGATCGTTATTTTGTTAAAAATATTGAATTTGATAATAAACAAGCAATTTCTTTTGATGATATGTTTCTAGTTCCTTAAGTGATTCTGGTGCTCTAATTCATTTTAGCAATTCAAACTGCATGTGTCTTGGTGACACCTATCTATCACCTTATTGCCCTTAACTTTCACTCTTGAATTCACTATGCAACTATCTGGAAGAAAATTGATTTTATCTTTCTGTTAGTTCAATGTCTGCATATAAAAAGCCAGGTGATCTGTAAAAATATGTTTCTTGATGGTTTTCTTCTTTGACTTTTAAGGCCATCAGTAATTATCTTGGATTAAGAATATGCATTTGATGCAATATTTTTCAAAATATCCTCTATGCTCACTGTTGACCATCATTATGCAGCCGTGCTTTTTATGACAAGAGGATCTCGCAAGAAGTCAGCGGAGATGCTTTGGGTGATGTATGAATATGCTCTTTCCTGCTTTTGATTTTCTGCTCTTTTTTGTTTATTGTTTTTTATTTTTTGTTTTTGGCAAGGCAATTTTTCTGCTATGTGTTTTTAACATATTCACTTTTTAATTATCTGGCAGGAATTTAAGGGCTATGTATTCAAAATCATGGGAGGCTGTGACAAGCAAGGTTTTCCTATGAAGCAGGGAGTTTTGACCCCGGGCCGAGTCCGTCTTTTGCTTCACCGAGGTTGGTAGAATTTGGAAATCTCTGTTTTGTGTTTGCACATGTTTTGTGATTGGAGTGTAATTTGTGAGTAGGTATTCAGTTGAAGATATCTTTTGCTGGAAATAAAGTGAGATGTGCATTTAACAGGTACCCCTTGCTTCCGAGGATATGGTAGGCGAAATGGGGAGCGCAGAAGAAAGTCTGTTCGTGGATGTATTGTTAGCCAGGACCTATCAGTTTTGAACTTGGTTATTGTGAAAAAGGGTGAGAGTGACCTTCCTGGGCTGACTGACATTGAGAAACCAAGAATGAGAGGTCCAAAGAGAGCATCCAAGATTCGGAAACTCTTCAATCTTTCCAAGGAGGATGATGTTAGGAAGTATGTCAACACATACCGTCGAACTTTCACAACCAAATCTGGTGAGTTTTCTCATTCTTTTTTGTGGTGAGATTGATGTGTACACAGCAAATGAATAAAAGACAAGCAAATTAATATTTCTGAAATTTTTTTATTCTGAAGATTATTAGGTAATTAAGGAACATATTTTTTGAATAATTTTTTAATTTTGTTGTGGCTTTGCTATTAACAGGAAAGAAGTGCAGCAAAGCTCCAAAAATTCAGAGGCTGGTAACTCCACTGACTCTGCAGAGGAAGCGAGCAAGAATTGCTGATAAGAAGAAAAGAATTGCAAAGGCCAAGTCTGAAGCAGCTGAGTACCAAAAGCTTCTTGCCTCCAGGTTGAAGGAGCAGCGCGAGCGTCGTAGTGAGAGCTTGGCAAAGAAGAGGTCGAGACTCTCTGCTGCCTCCAAGCCATCTGTCGCAGCATAGGTGGCCTGGTTGGTCATAATCCTTGGTTTTGCAGTCATATTTTAATGTCGTTTATGGGTTTCATCCATATTCTGAGTTTATTTTGAATGATGAACTTTAGAAGTCTTCAAGTTATATTTGACAGTTAATCGTTACTGTTCTACTTGGGCCTTTGATATTTTTGTTTGGTTTATTGTCTATTATTTTAATGGTCTTATCTTGTTTCGACATGTTGGATCTTTTGGTTATTCTATCAATGTGGACCTTCTGCAAATGCAATTGATGTTTGATTGTTGGTTTGGAAATTAGAGTCGCCAATCCTACCTTGTCGGGCAAGGATGAATGGAAAGAATTGCTGCTTTTTGTGGATTGATTTCTCTTGGAACCTTTTTGGTTTCACCAATTCTGTGTTAGGATCTTTGCAGTCGCCTTTTTTTTTTTTTCTCACTCCGGTAATCCGATACGGTAGACCAGTTTCGCTCTCGGGTGCATTTTTTTTCACTCCGGGGATACGTTACAGAAGACCATTTTTTCAATGCTATGATATATATCCTTTAGTGTTGAACTGTTTGATTCACAGCTGTTTCTTTCACTTTTTAAATCGTTATATATCTAATAATGTCAGTTTTGTTCCAACTTCAGGTAGTCAAATTGCTTAATCCCCAACCACCTCCCTTCTTTATTGGAAGATACAATTCCAAACAATGTCAAGTTCCAAAGACTTTCCGCTGAAAATTTTGTATTTTAATGCCTTCCAATATTATTTTAAAAAGAATCAATAATGTGTGATGAACTAAAATTTTCTCTTCGACCCGACAAAAATTCCTAAACTTTAAGGTTATGTTTAGTTGAAAATAAAAGAAATGATAACATCACTTATAGGAGAAATGAAAAAGAGCAAAAGAAAAGTTTGGTTGATTAATGAATGAAATGAAAGAAAAGGAAAATAATCGTGTTTGGGAAAAGAAAGGAAAACAAACTATTCTAATAAATTTAGTATTATATCTAAAAGACAAATTTATAGATTTAAGTGTGTAATATAAAAAGAATTAAAATTTTAATACAAATGTTATTGTTCTTTTGAATTCATGTTTATACCTTTAACTTATAAATTAGATAGGTAAAAAAAATGTATCATGTGATCCTATTTCAATACAAATGAGTTAAATTAAATGTTATCAATAAAAGATGAACCAAAGACCAAGATGTTTTTTTTGAAGCTGCTTGAAAACATGAGAGAAACTTGATTCATAACCTGTAACATACTTGAGGGATGAGGAAAAGGAAGACTCGAACCAGTTAAGGGCACCAAAGTCTCATAGTTCCCTTTCTTAACTATCAATTTGAAAATAACATTTTCATTTTTCCATATCTTCTCAGAAGTATATACCAAATTTCTTAAGTATCAATTTGAAAATAACATTTTCATTTTTCCATTTCTTCTTAGAAGTATATACCAAATTCAGCATATATTTTTTTGGGAAAATTACATATAAATGGAGTTAAAGTTTCATATTTACTTAGAGACTGAGTCAAAGTTCCATATTTCTCTAAAATGGATTGCTGAGGTGGCACATGGTTTTTTACTGTTTAGAAAATTGTGGTGCCTAAAATGCCCTTCCCTAACAAAAAAGTAGTACCTTCAGTTCAAAAAAGTAGTACCTTCAGTTCAAAAAAGTAGTACCTTCGAAGAAAAAGTAGTACCTTCGCGGGTGTTTAAAAAACATGGTACCTGGACACCAAAAAGTAGTACCTTCAGTTCAAAAAAGTAGTACCTTCGAAGAAAAAGTAGTACCTTCGCGGAAGGGTATTTTAGGCACCACAATTTCTAAACAGTAAAAAACCATGTGCCACCTCAGCAATCCATTTTAGAAAAATATGGAACTTTGACTCAGCCTCTAAGTAAATATGGAACTTTAACTCCATTTATATGTAATTTTTCCTATTTTTTTCACCTAATTCACATAGGCAAACAAGAAGTTGACTTCAACCATGGTTTTGAACCATTCCTACTTCCAATGTGAATCCACTTCCCCCTCTTTCTCTCTCCTATTTATCCTCTAATTTTGGCGCCATTGTTTTGCACCAACAGTGAAATTTGGCGTCTTTCCCCCTGCGATAAGCAAACTGATTGCATGCCCTAGGATAAAGTGTAATTTTGATTTTGTGTTTAAGGTAAATTTGAAATCAGAAAGATTACATTAAACCTCCCCCTCCTCTTTCTTTCCTTTTTTGGGAAGATAAGAAACTAAGAAAGTTATTATTTAAGTCTTGTGATATTTATTTTCTTTCCTTTCCTCTAATCATTTATGCCAAACATAATTTTTTTATCACCCTTTATTATTTTTGCCTTCCTTCCTTTTCCATTGCACCAAATTGAGCCTAAAAGTAGAATTGAATACTAGTTAGACAACTATCATAGCATGGTCCGACTCTTTATCCACTGCTCCCTCTGTCCTAAAAAAATGTCATGCTTTTTTTTTTTTGGTCTATTCCAAAATAATTATGGCTTTCCTTTTTCAAACAATAAATTTTACAACTTTTCATATATATCTTTGGTGTTTAAAATTTCAAATTTAAATATTCAAAATTTAGAAGGGCGAATTAGTAACTTTTCAAGAAGACAAGATATGTCCCACGTGTCCCCTTAAAAATTCCTATTCCCCAAAAATGACATCTAAATTAGGACAGAGGGAATATATGATAACAAGTAAAAACAATTATTCAGGGGTAAGTGTAAAAAATATATATCATTCATGACACTTTTACTCCCTATTTAAAAAGGTGTGCAAAAAATACCCCTTAATTAATATAATACCTATTTTATCTTTTTACTCTTCCAAAAATGCCCCTACCAAAACGGCTCTGGATTTTCTGCTGTAAATCGCTCTGCCTTTGATGACTTCTATGGAGCTGGCTTCGGTGGCCCCGTCAAATAGATCCCTTGGTTTCGACACCTGTGTGCGAGTGATGGGATTGGATTTCCACACAATTACTCGTTTTCTCGGCTCAATCTGTACCGGGTCATTTGCTTTATTCAACGTGAAATTGGTTATGCAGGCGACCCGAGTTGGATTTTGAACGAATGTTTAGCTCTTTTCTGGGGATGGGATGATGTCACCCGGTGGTGTATCAAATAATGGGGAAGTGGTCATGAACAAGGAGACTGACCTGTGTAATAAAAGTATCCAATGTGGCGTGAAGCCTTTTAGAGGCTTACAATACACTTGACTTTGTTCACCAATTCAAAGGACCCAGCTCTTTAGGCTTCTGAAACTGACATCTGAACAGCGGCTAATAACCCGGCCTTAGCCTTATTCCTTAGAGCCCAATTCTCGATTAGGAACCAAAAAGCGATTTTATTCTAAATAGCTGATTGTCGATTTAGACTTGCCTCGTCGGATTTCCGATGGCGTACACGGCGACAATGCTGTCGTGGAGCGTGATTGATTTGGGTAAGGGCATAGGTATGCGATCTGAGAAAGACCGGCGAGGATGAAGACGGCCGGCGAGCAAGGACAAGCTCGCACGGAACTGATGGCGGTTCGCGAGGGCAGTGAGCTTGGAACAGCGGCTGACCAGTAGGGGGAATCTAGGCAGGTGGTGGCAATGGCAGCGAATAACGATTCCGGCAATAGGTTGTGGAGAGAACTGGTTCGGTCGTGAGCTTTCGGTCGATGTGAAATGGTTTCGCCGACATAAAGGTTGTGTAATCACCACCCCCGCTTTCTTACTTCTTCGGCTGAGATGGATCAGAGCAAATTTGCTTTTTCATCGCTAACTTAAAACCACTCTTACATTCTCACAGAGATAGGTGAATTATATCAATTGACAGGTTGCCAAAACTAGATATTTTCTTTTAGTTGTACTAGAATCGAAATTATGGTCAGAAGGAGGTGAAGTCGAGGCTCGCTCTGAGCAACCGACAGTCTAATCTTTTCTCATTGCCCACTTTGTAAAGGTCCTTTAGAGATCCATTCCAAATTTAGACAAGGAGCGTTTAATCACTTTTATAGAACTTTTGCTGCAATATGGACTCCGAAAGAAAATTCCATTACTGGCTAGGAAGAAAAATCAATCCACCAAACCGAACATGCACAATATGATAATGAAACCCACGAGAGATGCGGCGCATCCACAAAGATGAAGAAGAAGAAGGGTCCTTTTAGTCATTTCACAAAATATATAAAATGTGTTGCTAAGGGCATTTTAGTCTAATTTTTATAAATATGATCTATTTGCACAAATGTTATAGTTTAGAGGTGTTTTTTGCACCGAAGGGGTGCGAGATGCACTATAAACATACTGCACCTGACCCCATTTATTCATTTAGAACAAAATATATTTGATGATTTGATGACAAAGTGGTAAAATATAGTATATATATGAAAAAAAAAAAATCATAACAATAATGGCAATTCGTGTTGACGGGTCATTTTCGTGTCAATACGAATATGACACTAACACAATTAAATATAGTATATATATGATAAAAAATAAAAAATAAAATCATTACAATAATGGCAATTCGTGTTGACGGGTCATTTTCGTGTCAATACAATTATGATACAAACACAATTAAAGTCGATACGAACACGACACGACACGACACACGTAACCTATTTAATAAATGGATCAAGACTTGACAAGAAGAAACACGTTTAAGTCATTTTTGACCCAACACACAGATACGACACGTTTAACTAATCGAGTCATAATCGTGTTAGCATAATCAAATACGAACACAACATGTTTAGTTAACAGGTCAATCTGTGTCAACACGATTACGACACTAACACGATTAGCCTAAACTTAAATCTTTCTTATCTCGTATCGTGTTAAATATTGCCAACCTTAAAATCATGTAAGAGCAATTTTAGTATAGAAATTTAAAATGAATTAAAATTTTAAAATAATTTTACTCAATAGACGTATATAAATAGAAATTTATATTATATATAGTCGCATCCATGCAAGGAATAAACTTGTAACTCTCGTTCTTACGCCACTTGTGCTTTCACTTTCTGCGCTACTTTTTGCTCTCGCAATAGAAGACTTAAATTTTGCTGCATCATTCTCGCTCATGCATCCGTTCTCCATGGCACTTAGGGTGTGTTTGGTAGGGTTGATTTGGAGGGATAGGGAGAGAAAAGAAAAGAGAGGATAGTGTAAGTTTGTGTTTGGGTAACTTAAGTGGAGGGATAGGGAGGGATAAGGAGAGATAGGGAGGGATAGCTATCCCTCCTTATCTCTTATTTGCTTTCTCCTCAAAATTGAGAAGATAGGGAGAGATAGTGAGAGAAAGGATAGTGATTTTAGTGGTATTTTGATAATACCAAAATTAGCCTCCACAAATCAATACACAGATTTATTATTCCATCCAAGTCCCATGGTTATGAAAGGGTAAAAAAGTAATTTATCTATTATCCTTTCTTTTCTTTTCTCTCCTCTATCTTATCCAAACAAAAATAACTATTACTTCTTTTCTTTTCTCCCCTGTCTATCCAAACACAAATAGAAATTATTACTATCCTTTCTTTTCTTTTCTTTTCTTTTCTCACTAATACTATCCTTTCTTTTCTTTTCTTTTCTCTCATAACTAATACTATCCAAACACACCCTTAGGGTGTGCTTGGTAGGGTTGATTTAGAGGGATAAAGAGAGAGAAAAAAAGAGAGGATAGTGTAAGTTTGTATTTGGGTAACTTAAGTGAAGGGATAGGGAGGGATAAGGAGAGATAGGGAGGGATAGCTATCCCTCCTTATCTCTTATTTGCTTTTTCCTCAAAATTGAGAAGATAGGGAGAGATAGTGAGAGAAAGGATAGTGATTTTAGTGGTATTTTGATAATATCAAAATTAGCCTCCACAAATTAATACACAGATTTATTATTCCATTCAAGTCCCATGGTTATGAAAGGGTAAAAAAGTAATTTATCTATTATCCTTTCTTTTCTTTTCTCTCTTCTATCTTATCCAAACAAAAATAACTATCACTTCTTTTCTTTTCTCCCCGTCTATCCAAACGCAAATAGAAATTATTACTATCATTTTTTTTCTTTTCTCACTAATACTATCCTTTCTTTTCTTAACTAATACTATCCAAACACACCCTTAGGGTTAGGGGTGCACTACTATGTTCATGGGCAGGTCCGGGTCGGGCCGAATCGAGCTGTGAAATATTAATGGTCCTCAAAATTTAACAAAACCAAGCTTGATTATAGTCCCAACTAATGCCACTACAAACCCCACGCCGTCTTCCCCTCGCCCCTCTCTCCCTCGTCTCAAAATCGCGGGGGACAGTGGGAGTTGCTAACTTCAACGGAGAGAGAAGCAAGAAATGGGAGGCAGAGGAAGGTCTCGTACTCAGAGAAAACACTTCCGTCAGAGCAGAGAGAATGTTTGGAAGCGTAGCAAATCTGATAATTCTGAACAAGAAGAGACCGACAACAACAACAACCCAAACCCCAACCCCAACCCCAACACTACTTGGGAGCCTTTCGCCACTCAAAACCAAGCCTTCGATGAATACTACAAGGTAACCAAAAACCCTAATCCATTCTATATGTACGTATATACATATACATATATTTATATAATCTGTATGCCTAAATGTTATGCAATACGACATGGTAGGAACAAGGTATAGTATCCCCAGAAGAGTGGGACACTTTCATCCAATTTCTTCGAAAGTCGTTACCTGCTGCTTTCAGAATCAATTCAAGGTAAATCTGTTTTCTTTTCTTCTTTATTTTGTCTCTAATTTAAGTAATTGCTAATTGGATAGTTCTTATTAGAAATACGTACATGGGAATTGTAAAATTACATTAAAATTGTGCACCATTTCATTATGTAACTGTCAAGATGCCCTAGATTATTAATATTTATGAAGACCCAGAAAGGGAAAAAAAATGCCTCGAGTGTTGGTGGGGAGAAATGTAGAAGTTGCAAATCCAACTAGCTAATTATTGGGTATTACCCAGTCACCTAGTTTGTTGGTAGAGCGGCCATCTCCCCGAGTGGGTGCGCCTATGTTAGAGTACCCCCTCCCCCTAGTTTGCCAGGAAAAAATAATAATTATTGATTTACCCTATTCGTTTAAAGTCCAAAATTCTATTACAATTTTATATCACTGGAAGATCTAAATCACCTTCCATTCAGAAAAGTGCCTTAAACTTGTTTACAATAATATATTCCTCCTTGTTTTTGCAGTGGCCAGTTTTGTGCCGAAATTCGCTCGCAGTTAGAGAATGACTTTATGAAATCTCTTCAGTCTGAGGTTGAACAATTGCATCTTTTTTTCTGCAGTTACGGAACAATTTCTGTATCTGATGCCGCAGTTGGAAAAATATTACTTTTTTTTAAAAATAAAATAAAATAAAAATGTTTTCTCCATTCTTAGTTTTTCTTTTTTTCCAGGTAACTGATGGGAGTGAAGAGGCAATTTTTCCAATGCCTTGGTACCCTGAGAATCTTGCTTGGCATTCAAATTTTTCTCGTATGCAGTTGAGGAAGAACCAAACCCTTGAGAGGTAAATGATGCAATTAATAATGAATTGTTTTTAGTAATTTCAAGTGGGTGAATAATGTGTGGACCTTTGTAACACTAACTTTGAGCCAAGCACTTGCTTTAGCATTTGTTCTGATGTAAGTCCATTGTGGGTTATTGGTATATTTGCTGCTGGTGCTAGGCACATGCATTTGGGAGATATGACCCAATTTTTTAATTTGTTATTCTCTGGGGATTGTACTGGCATCGTCTCACATTTATAATGTTAACGATATGCCACTGTTCCAATTGCAAACTGCTGTTACTTACTGCACCTAAGAAGAAACCAGAATGCTTCTAGTGCTTTATTGTATTGACCTCATGCTTATTATATGTGTCTTAATGTACATCTTTGTACAATAACTATGTGTTAGTGTGTACATATGTATCCACCTCTGTGTTTGTGTGTAAATTCTTTTCTATCTATTATATATGATCAAGTATTGTTTGTATGAAATCTTTGGTATCAGGGATATATAAGCAAGTGTGTTTTTGTTTGTGAAATCTTTGGTATCTGGGAATATTAGCCAGCATTTTGATTTATTGCTTTCTGAGGATTCTACTGGCTTTTTGCCCACACTTATTATGTTCATGATATGCTGATGACCCAATTGCAAACCGTTGTCATTTGCTGCACTTAAATAGAAACTACACTTCTATTGCTCTGTAGTATAGTGCAATGTTGATTTTAATTTACCATGTTGTATATATATTGTATATTTACATGTCTGTATGTTAACTATATGTGGTTGTGCACACACATACAAGCACGCCTGTGTTTGTCTGTGAAAATTTGGTATCTTGGAATATTTTGTCCTTATAATGTTAAAATCTCTAATAAAGATTTATGAGTAGGTGGCTGTTGCTGGCATTTATTTGATTGATTCTTTTCAGTTTGTGTAAATATATCCTTGTACCAATTATTGATTTAAAGAATTTTATGACAAAATGGCAATAGGATGTTGATTGGATATAGGTTGGATATTATGAAAATGATGGGCACTCTCAGCAATTATACTTTAGAATTTCATGTGGTAGTTCTTGTTGACTCTGATTGTATTTTAATGGTGAAGGAACAATTGGAGGGCCAAAATGTCTAAACGTTTATAATAATAAACAAAATCACATTTGAGATTTGATGCTGTGGAGTTTGGCATTATTATCAATATAATATAACTCACTGCACCGTAAAATTCTTGTGCTTGGAATAGTGTGATGTTTCACGTCAATATGTTGATTTTTGTGATTGGATTAGTGTTATGTTTCACAAAAGTATGTTCTTTTTCTTGGTAAGTAAGACATGTGTCGGGTCCAAAATGTGACTTTAAACTAGTACCACTATTTCTGGGTTGGCAGATACAGCACTCAAGCTAACAGCTGGGGGTATCCCCGTAAGCATGTTACATTTAATTTTGCTTTTGCAGTCCTCACTCCTCGTCCATAAATAATATGAAAATTAGTATAAAAATTATCCTCACTTATCAATATGTCAAAGGATTATATTTGAAGGTAGATCTGAAGTTGAATTGCATATGATTTTAGAAATGACAATTGTATTTTTATTCTTTAGTCTTGAAGAAACTATTTGTCAGAAAAAATAGTCTCGTAAAATTGGACTTCAATTACGAAGTTTGTTTGGAATCTTGTGTGTTTGCTCAATTTGTGCCTATGATCCACCATGTCTATGAAGCAGCTAAAACTGAATTCGGTGCTGAAATGATTCTTTATCTGTTTATTTAATCATTTCCTTGTTTTGATCTAAAAATTTTAGGTTCCATGAGTTCTTAAAGCTAGAAAATGAAATTGGAAACATCACAAGACAGGAGGCTGTAAGCATGGTGGGCAACTTTATATAATATTTGTAACTCTTTGCAATTAATAATGTTATTTAGTCAAAATATCTCTTAAAGCATCTTGACATTCTGGTGTATTGATTTTGCTTTATCTTGTTGGCCAAATATAAACTTCTAATCTATGATTGTTTTGGATCCAGGTACCTCCGCTGTTCCTGGATGTACGGCCAGATCATTTTGTTCTTGATAGTAAGCTGCTTTTGTGCATTTAATGATGTTAAAGTGTCTTTGTATTTTGAGCTTTTAGAAGTAAATCCTATTGAGTGATGGATCATATGTTTGTTACTAATACCAGATTCCTTTGGAAATCTTATCAATATCAACATCAAATAGAGTTTAAAGTTTCAACTAAGAAACTTCTAAACTCATCCTTTTTTGTTTTTTTTGGGTCTTATCAACTTTAATCTGATGATATAACTATTGTGTGGCCTTGTTAAAAAGACAGATGTCAGCAAATTTTGACCATTTCCTTTCCTTTATGCAGTGTGTGCAGCTCCAGGTTCAAAAACATTCCAGTTACTTGAGATGATACACGGATCAACTGAATATGGTTCTTTACCTAGTGGAATGGTGATTCTATTTCTCACTCTTGGAACTGTATTTTTAGTCTCTGTTCTGCATTTGGACCAATCCACATTGAGTGAAGATATGGAAATCTACAAATGTGCCTTATTATTCGCTTGCATGATTGCATTTTCTTTCTTTTGTAATGGAATAGTTTTTCTGCATTCCAATAGTATGTAGTTATATTTTCTTTTATACTTTGCTTGGTTTAGGTAATAGCAAATGATGTTGACGTCCAAAGGTGTAACCTCCTTATCCACCAAACAAAAAGAATGTGCACTGCTAACTTGATTGTCACAAATCATGAAGCGCAACACTTCCCTAGTTGCCATTTAAATAACAATCATTCTAATGCCTCCGAGACTGAAGTGTTGAAGGTGCCAAATCTCAGTCAACTTCTATTTGATCGTGTCTTGTGTGATGTTCCTTGCAGCGGGGATGGTACTCTCCGTAAGGCTCCTGATATATGGAGGAAATGGTAGTTGTTCTGCATTCTTTCTTTTTTCCTTTTCTTCTTCCCCCCACCACCACCCTGAAACACACACACACACACACACACACACACTCACACACACAATCACACACGCATACAAATCCTGTTTTTTGTTGTCTTATGCCTGGTGAAATTGTTTTAATGCAGGAGCGTTGGAATGGGTAATGGACTTCATGGTCTACAAGTTCAGATTGCAATGCGGGGTACCTTTTGTACTTAACTTTTTTCTATTTTAAAGGTTGCTGAAATAGTAGGTTATCAAACAGGACTGATTGAGTCCACTATAACTTATTAGCTCACTACTCTTCACAAAGTTCAAAAATAGTTTAGTTCTTAATGACATCTCTGCCTGAACCTATTAGCTTGTGATGCTGAAAGCTTGGTTTGGGATTCGACATGTATTACCCTCACTTGTTGAAAGTTTAAAATGATAATCGTCTTTGTCAAGTTAGACTTAAAATATATAAGTGATCTCAGCTCAGTGCAATGTCTTTTCTTTTCGATGCCTGATTTCAAATAGAATGAATTTAGTGAGAAAGATAAGTATGTTTAATTGTTGTATTTTGTTCCTTTGTGTCTCCCCAAGCGTTGATGTATGATCTGCTTTGAAATCAAATTAGTTTCATGTAGTTTTATGGGTAATTTTGATAGAAGATAGAGCTAATCACAGGTCAATATATTTTGCATATTAAAGGTAAAAATGATAAACTTCAGCCACCTTTGTACTGGGTACATTTAATGTGGTTTCTCAGAACTTAGAGATTCTGAAAATCTTATATTTGTACATAAGCTGTTGATGTGGTTTAAATACAGATAGATGAATCTTCACTTGATTCTACTTGGTGCTTAAGTTAAGAGATTTAATTGGGCAGGTTAACCATACTTTTTTAGTGATTCTATATTTGATTATTCCAGGTCTCGCTTTGCTTAAAGTTGGTGGAAGAATGGTTTACTCAACTTGCTCTATGAATCCAGTTGAGAATGAGGCTGTGGTTGCTGAGGTAACATGTTGATTTTATGAAAAGGCTTGTTATAGCTACAACTATGAAAACAGGAACGATTTTAATCTTGTTCTTTTCGGTATTAATAAAAATTCAATTTTTTTATTTTTTATTTTTCAGCTTAACGCCACATTGTTTGACATTGACACCAAAATTCTGCTATTCTCAGTTTTTTTTTTTTAAACATTAAATCTTATTATGATTGTGCTTGGATGTTTTCTGATGATCCGCATGGCACAATGATATCTACTTATCTTTTAATTTTTTAAACTTGTTTTTCTTTCCTCTTCTATTTTCTTTCTTTCTACGGCCTGGGATGTTTCGTTTTCTTCAGATTCTGCGGAGGTGCGGGGGGTCTGTCGAACTTCTTGATGTCTCCAGTGAGCTTCCTCAGCTTGTTCGCAGACCAGGTCTTAAGAAATGGAAGGTATTTTCATTTTTCAAATACATATTTGAATTATTATACATATAAATCAGAAACTTTAAAGAAATGTCAACGTCCTGGTTTAATGTAATCTTATATTCGTTAGCAGTAGAAATTTTCTATATTGGTCAGCACTCTAAAACTGCAATGCCAGGCTCGTATGTAGGACAGTGACTCCCTATTCTTGCTAGCAAACAACACTTCCATCTTGATACTATTTCTAAGGAGTTTAAAAATGAATTTGTTGATGCAACTCAGGCTTCAATCTACCAATGTGTTAATGATGTAGATAAAGAAGCAAGATTTATTAAAGGCGAAATCAACTGTATGAAAATTCTTCAAAAATTACCTGTAGTATGCCACTACATAGTCTTCTCAGTGCCCGAAGTTGGTGAATGATACCTCAACTTTTAATCATGTTTGAAAAACTCTTTAATTAATTATTGTGATAGGGTCTGGATTATCACCATTGTTTTGTTGTTATCATATTATTAACTCAAAAGAAATTGCTTCCATCCTTCCTGCAGGGCTCAGCAAGGGGAATTTTTGGTATTTGACAGGATGGTCCCAATTAAAAGATCCTAGGTTATTATACATGTTAAAATTTTAACACGGATTATTCTAAGACACTCTTAGGAGGGAGAGGCACAAATGTTGGTGTCTTGAGATTTATGTGTGTCCTCACCTATGGGTTTTGAGTATTTGATGCCATGGTCCTAATTATGGATCCTAGCTGATGGCATTTTGAATGAACAAAGTATCCATGTATGACATATGTTAAAAGTTGAAAGCTTAAAACCTCATGGATTATTCCGAGACACTTCTATATATTTTTCCTTGTTTGCTCAATCACCATCTGTAGAGCCACTCCTGACCTCAAAGCAATATGATAATTTTGTAGGCCACAAGTTCATATTTTATTTAATTGTTTTTGATTCATAGATTAGTTTTACATTAGATCCTTAAGATACTTGTCAAAGTGTTTACTGCACTTTTTGAGATATTGTGGTTGTGTGTTCCAACTGTTACACACATTCTGGCACCTAGACCCATGAAAGAAGGCCAGCTGTATTGCATATGTGAGTGGGTAGAAAGCATGGCTCAAGGTTTGTGGTGAAAAGCAATGAATGGATATCAAAATCTTCTGACAAAATGTCATTATGATTTAGAAGATAATTTTATTTTCAGAATCAATGTAAAGTTAACTGCTGAACTTTTGCTTTCCTTTTTACCTCTACTAGGCGGATCTCATATTTTTCTATTTTAATATTTAAACCCTGTCCTTAGCTGATGCTGCATATCATCTATTTTGTATATGGCAAACTTAGGACACGGAATGTAACCTTGATTCAGATATAGGACTATCCACTTCTATTTTATCTAGTCATGTTCTGCTTTATATTGTTTCTCAAGCATTTGATTCTGCATTTCACTTGCAGGTTCGAGATAAAGGGATCTGGTTAGCTTCTTACAAAGATGTCTCCAAGTTTCGCAGAGATGGGATTATTGCCAGCATGTTTCCTTCTGGCGTAAACTATGTGGATGCATCTAGAGATGACCATGATACAGTCTTGGGAGAAAGGCATGATGGTGCTGGTAATGGAAACTCTGAAAATGGGTTGCAGTTGACGGAAAATTCAGTGGCTTCGACAGTTGTTCTTGATGAGGAAGTTTCAAGTCTCCCTTTAGAACGTTGCATGAGGATAGTTCCTCATGATCAGAATACTGGGGCCTTTTTTATTTCTGTCTTCCACAAATTCTCTCCTTTGCCTGGTAACTTCAAGCATCATTTTGTTTGTTAAATGATTATTAAGAATGCTGGGTACTGTATTTGGCATATTAATAGACCAGTGTGCCTAGTACAATGTGTGACTCACACTAATCTCACTAGGCTTGGGTGCCTTGATGATTGTTAAATCCAGGCTAGTGCATATTATGGGACAAAATACAAGTTGATATTGCAATGATCTAGAATGACCAGGGTCTAAATAGGAAACTCACATTAATTCAAGCCACGTTTGTACTCTTAGACTCCACTTGCTTTTTTTAGCAATTGTCCTCCAAAAGCACTCACAGACTCCATAATTATCGAAAAAGTACTATTACACAGTTACACTTCACTTTTGAGGTATAATTATGTCATTTTCTTTATTTAAAAAATCAATTTGAGTGCAAATATCACATCCCGATCACTGTTAGTACCATTTCCTTTTCCGTATTGTTGCCATGTGCTATTTTAGAGGATAATTAAACTTTATCCTGCATTTTCTCATGCAGCTATTCAGAAAAAACCTGTTCGTCTGCGTGGGCAATTGTATTCTAGTAATGATAATTGGACGGAGAAATTATCAAATGAAGTGAAGGAAGATTCAGATGGGTTGGAAGTCAATCCAGCAGTTGTTATAGGTGAGCAACTTCCAGAAACAGCTCCCGAAGCTGATTTACTTGATAATGAAACGCAGGAAACCGCTTTGGATGTTGATTCTGTTAAAATGGGTGAAGAACCAGAGGAGAAGGAAACTGTGGCTCCTCTTGATAAGGAAACTGGTGTCCCAGTATCTAGAGGAAAGAGGAAGTTACAGATTCAAGGGAAGTGGAAAGGTGTTGACCCTGTTGTTTTCTTCAGGGATGACGCTGTCGTAACTAGCATAAAGACATTCTACGGTATTGAGGAATCATTTCCATTCTGTGGTCACCTTGTCACGAGGAACAGTGATACTAACCACGTGAAGAGAATTTACTATATATCAAAATCAGTTAAAGATGTTCTTGAACTGAATGAAGCAGGGCAGCAACTCAAGATAACTTCAATTGGCCTGAAGATGTTTGTGAGTTTAGTTTTTCACATTGGCATTTGATTTGTTATTGTTTCTCCTCCTTTACTGAATGTTATTGGTGTATGCATGTCTCATATTCATCCCTTGCGAAATTGTCGATAATTCCAGTCTTCGTGTATCAAGGCAATGGGAAATTGAAGATTTCCTTGTAATCATTTTAGAAGACTTTGCAGCCCAAATTATTATGAACGAACTATTCTTTTATCATTTCTTACTTATGAATCATCATGTGAGCATGATTTCTTCTTTATTTCAGGAACGACAAACGTCAAAGGAGGGTAACTGCTCACCATGTGCATTTCGGATATCATCTGAAGGATTGCCACTTCTTCTTCCACATATAACCAAGCAGATCCTACCCGTGTCCCCAGTTGACTTCAAGCATCTCTTGCAATATAAAAGCATTAAAATTCCGGACTTCGTTGATGCTGAATTCAGAGAGAAGGCTTCAAAGCTAATGATGGGATGTTGTGTGGTGGTTTTAAATAAAGGTTTGTGTACATACACATGTAATATAGATATGGTCACGGACATGCACAGGTAATTTAAACCTGTTGTTGATTCTGTGTAGGTATCCAAACCTTGTCAGATCCTCCTCAAACAGATGCTTCAACAATTGCCATTGGATGCTGGAAAGGTAGGAGTAGCATCTCTGTGATGGTGACAGCAATTGACTGCCAGGAATTGTTAGAAAGGCTATTGAAATGCATGGAGACTAAAGAGGACCCCCTACTGCAAGAAAGGGAGGACTCTAGTGTTATTGCAGATGAAGCAGTGAAAATGAATGATGTTGAACTTGAAGATCCAATAACAGTTAAACTTGCAACTGTTGGTTAAGCTAACAACAATTTTTTTGAGTCTGCTTTTTAAGTGTTTTTATTATTTTTTTTTTGTCACCTACTCATCAAAAGTTATAGTAGGGTTGTTTTCATGTTTGTTTCAATGTAACATTGTACTACAGCCGATTATGTTAAGAACATTATTATTCTTATTTTCACTGGCTAAAAATTCATTTTTGCATCCAACACACCGAAATTGAAATGGTCTTGTAAATCCCATCTTAACCTGCCTTCATTTGGCTAGCCCATCTGGACAAAAAGATGATCAAAAGTTGACTATGGACATAACTTAAAATGGGAGCATTGCAATAATTAATTGAATCTCAATGGATCGGACTACCGTACCCCTTGTATAGCAATCAACCTCTTCAATGGCTTGGAAAGAAAAGCTTGCATCAACTTTGGCTTTGGTAATCAATCAGTTCAACATTCAAATATTAAAGGTCAACTTGGAACATAATACGGCAAATGTCTTTTTTACGATCTGTGAGTAAATATGATGGTCTGACGAGACTAAAATCCCGAGCTATTTATAATAATAAATTGAAAAACCAACCATATAGGATTCAGTATCGGTAGCATGCATTGATGTTCCTTGTCCGAATAGACGACCACATCTGGTGAAACTCATCAGTAGATGGATCTAACCATTACTGGTAACATGTACGTCGTGGTAAGCAGATTTTAGAACTGAAATCCCAAGATAATAGAATCAGCAGAAGGCAAATCAATCAACACATGTAGTCAATTTCCTCTTGCAAAACAAGCTATAACAATGAAAGATATACAGCAAAAATACACCTGACATTTCAAAAATCACTACTAGATATATAGAAGTAAAGATCCCAAATCCCAAATCCCAAATCCCAAATCCAAACATCTCACGAAGATTTACAGCACATCTTCCTTTCTGGAACTACTTGCCCAGGACCAGGGATAATGATCTTCTTGCCAGACAGCGATGCAGGATTGCCGTTACCTTGATCCTCACCTGCGACTAGGTTCTTCTTATTCACGATGTTGAAGATCTCTGTCAATACAGTCAAGAATGCAGTCTCCACGTTTGTTGATTCCAGTGCTGAGGTCTCTAAGAAGAATAGTCCTTCCTTCTCGGCGAATTCTTTGGCATCCTCAGTAGGGACTGCTCGCTGGTCTTCGAGATCAGTTTTATTTCCAATTAGAATGATGACAATATTCTTGTCAGCATGACTACGCAATTCTTCCAACCAACGGGGTATGTGCTCGAAGGTTTGCCGTTTGGTTATGTCATACACCAACATAGCCCCAACTGCTCCCCTGTAGTACGCGCTCGTAACAGCTCTGTATCTGCTCAAAGGTACCAAAATGAAAGTAGATGTATCAATTTCTAAAGAAATCTGGTAAATTTGCTAGCAACATAACAAACAAGATCTTGGGCACTATATGCATAAAATAGGTTTTTGACCAGAATCGACATTTGTTTCAGTCTTCTAAAATCATATCTGACTTTATGCACATCGATGTCATTGATTCCTGATACGAGGAGCACTATACATAGAAGCAATCACAATGAAAGCAGGCCAATAGAGATGGCAGAGTAAGCACTTCGTCCTTATACTACTTTCCGTGTTCTATCACAACCAAAATCATTTCCAACAAGCATCCATTGTAGGATTTGAGACACTGAAACAGAAGGTTGTTCAAATCCTGAACTGACGGGTCAATTTCTCACACTCAATTTAGTTCTACTAACCACATAAATCCTTTAAAAAATGAAAAATTGCCCAAAAATATTACATGAAACAGACTACAATGATATGGCAAGATCTGTCATTGAGTCTAACAGAAGGGAAAATGAGACAAATTTGATTGAAGAAATCATTACAAACTACAGGAGCTGTTCTCATCATAATGTTCCTGTTGGATACTGTATGCAGGCATGAAAAGGATGACTGGTGGCTTGACTACAGGAACTGTTCTCATCATAATGTTCCTGTTGGATACAGTATGCAGGCATGAAAAGGATGACTGGTGGCTTGCATATAAGCAGCCTACTTAATCAACGATCTAAATACAAAAAACACTGGTCTCCAAAATAAAATGCAATTAGAAAGAAAAAATCATTATGCACAGGTAAATAGGTAACCCAGAAACCAATCTTTTCTTTTGTTCATCTCATTTGTTTTTCAAATTTTCTAGGCAAAACAAAAATTATATCAGGAGCTTTAGGAGGTGCAACCCAGGTATATGTGACGCATACAGTAAATTAGAAAAAACAAGCTCGCATCAGGAGTTCAAATATCCCATACAGTTTGTAAAATAAAAATATGCAAAGAATCTGGGAACTTCCTTGGAAATCAAAACCGGTGAGTGTTCAACATGTTTTTCTTTTTTTCTTTTCTAGATTTTGCTCACAACTATAAACTTTCTATATGCCAAAAAAATAAAAATTAAGTTTCATATAATATATTTAATAATGTCTAGCAAATCCCATGTGCTACATTTCCACATTAAGTTTTTATACTGTTATAGGCATGGAAAAATACTATGTTCACCACTATCGTATTATAAACCAATTGGAGATTGTAGAAATTCAAAGTAAAAAAAAAAAACATTGGAGTGTTGGCCCCACTAATAAAAAATATTGAGGGTAGAAAATTGATTACAAATCTAACCAATGGCATTATTTACACAAAGTGACTGCCTTTTCTTTTAAAACCCTTTTAATTTATATCTATTTTCACAGATTCCCATCAGAGAAAGAAACATGGTCCCTCCCCTGCCCCCACCACTCAAAATTTAAAACAAAAAAGTCTACAATATATATATCTAATTCTGTAGTAAGAAGGGACAGTTAATGAACTGAGACAGCTTCTTTTCGCCTATGGTTTTTTTCAAATGTTGGCGGCCCCCTTGTTGGCCTAGGAATATCCCGCATTGATAGAGAGAAGCAGTGGTCGTCCCAGCTCTGTAGGCAGCAAGACCGGTGGATATATATATTCTTTTTGGACCAGTGAGATACACTCACAGCCACTATGAAACCACTTGTGCTAAAACGGTCAGCGAGTCTAAAATTTTCTAATGGCCCTAATAAAAGAATGCTCATGTACAGTGCACACCTACCAACACACAAAAATGAAAACGAAAAAGAATAATAATAAAAGATTTTGTAGGTCCACTCTACACATAGATCTATTTAGGGGAAACTATTGTACTTTTAGGTCCACCCCGTAGGCCTACAAGTTGAGGAGGTAAAACAAAACATAAAGATGGTTGATTAATCTAAGACTTACGTAACTTAAAGCCAATAACATGTTTTTTTTTTTTGGTAGTACACCATTAGTCGGTAAAAATAGGATAATAATTTGCCCAAACTTCACAAAACTGGTCTAAACTATTTAGCATTGCTAATTATTTTCAAAGCCACAAGATTAAGCTATTTTCAACTCAGATAAATATCTCTGTTATGCACCAATCAACTAATATTTAAACCCCGTAAATGATAGCACAGTAAAACAAGCTTTTTACTTATTCAATTTTAAAGATGCTAAATCAATTTAACCACAATAGATAATCAAACCTAAAAAATCTTATCCACAGTTGGGCAATTGGAAACAAAGTGTACATGCATGCGCAAAACCAATATATCAGTGAATATCTTGCTCATACCAGAGAACTTACACAATGGATTCCATCAGGGCAAGGGGCTAGATGGTACATTAAAGTATATATGCTCAGCCCAATTAAAGTAATCAATGCAAAAAGTTACTTGCATCAAGAAAAGCAAAGGAAGAACAATTTATAGCTACAATTTTGAAGGACAGAACTAATCATCAAAGGCTGCAATATATTGGCAAAAAGTAGTAAAGTACTAGTGCCACCGACCAACCAAATCGCATTCTCACAAACAAGACACTTTCTTGAAACCATACATGTGTGTAGAATTTAACTTTCAAACCCAAGTACACAATTCACAAAGTCAAACTCAATCCTAGAAAAGAGAGACACGATTCAAGCTTTTTTTCAAGTGGTATGTCACCCAATGCCATTTAGGAAGTTTGTGGACATTAAAAACCATGGTATTTATGAAATGGAAAATCATAAAAGAATTAATCAAGGAATTAAAATGATGCAGTCACTGATTTTATCAACTTTGTGATATTTGGAAACTTTCCATATTCTGCATCATAATATATAATATTTATAATGTCCACAATCAGCAATTATACAGTACAGTTGTCAATCAATCCAAGAATTGATAGATTGAGAGCAAAAATGTATGCGAATGATTAAGATTCTAAGTAATTCAAACAGTTTCTAGATATACTTTCATCAAGTATTCCCAAGAGATCGATATAGCACACTCACAAGCGGGAGCGATCTACATGATAGTATAATACTACAGATGCAACAATTATATAAGAACAATAATATAACCTTATGAAAGTAAAACCTAACTCAAAAACATTGAACTCTCTTAATCACTAAAAACCTACAAGTAAAAGTGAAATTCCTAATGAAAATATTCATATCGTTGCAACAAAAAACCAAATCTAGATCAGATTTAGAGACACAAACATACATAAATACACCTGTATGTATATAGTGGGGTAAGATATACCGTTCTTGGCCAGCGGTGTCCCAGATCTGAGCCTTGACGGACTTGTGCTGAATGACTAGGGTTCGAGTCTGGAATTCGACTCCGATGGTGGCTTTGGAGTCCAAGCTGAACTCGTTCCTGGCGAAGCGAGCAAGTATCTGTGACTTCCCGACGGCGGAGTCGCCTATGAGCACCACCTTGAAGACGTAGTCGATCTTCTGGCTCGCATCTCCATATCCTCCACCACTCGCCATTCCCTCCAAAATCTGTCTCTCTCTGTCTCTCTCTGAAACACTCTAACAGAAACAGAGTAGTGGACTAGTAGATCTTGGAAAAGGGTTTTACACTGAAGTGAAGTGATCAGACGATTTTGGTGTGAGAGCGAGAGAGCTAAATACAGTAGAAAAGAAAATGAAATTTATTTTCAATCATGATCACTATTTTTAATTAATTAAATACTAGAAAAGTGCCCTTCGTTGATCGGTGTGTCAGGGTGTGTAATGTGCGCATGTTTCGGGTGGGCTGTCTGATATGGGCCGCCTCGGGATCTTGTATCCAAAGAATCGCCGTGGGGAGGAAAAAGAAAATTACAAATACGATATCGTTTTATGTTGGTTTATGAGGGAAAAGATATACGACTACTATTTTAAAATTGCAATTATGAGTAAAAGTTCTGAACTTTTTATTAATTTTTAATTTTCTAAAAGAAATTTTTGGGATTAAAATTTTTTGCTTTGGTTATTAAAAAAAAGAGTCCAATTTTAAAGTAGTTAATTCTAGTGCCACCCGATATTCAGCATTGGTCATTAAAAATTGAGTTATTTTGATCGAAATTCCAATTCAATTTTATTTATTTAAAAAAGAAGAAGAAATTAGAATTTTGAAGAGAAAGTACAATTTGGATGGAGGCGGATGCATTCCAAACCAAACAAATTGGATCATGGTAATGTTTTGGAGGAGATATTCTTGACCTTTTTAAGTGTGAACACCCCTTAATCATATAAATGTGTTATAAATAAAATTTTAAACACTAATATATATATATATATATATGTAAAGTAGATAATATTTACAAAAATTTTAGGACAAATCATGACAAAGAGTATCAGAATCAATCTCTGATAAAAAATCATAGTCAATCTCTAATAAAAAATAAGGAAACTACACATATTTGTGCGGGTCAAGCCAACTTAAAATACTGAATTCTAAGAGATGGAGTGATTGTGACCCACAAATACCAAAATTTAATTGATATGTGAATTTTGTTTTAAAGGACCACTTTGACCTCAGACTTACAAATTTTCCTTCACCATTCTATTTTGTTGGTTGATCAATCTGTCATTTAATACGTATAGTGCAAGACACTTCCTTGCAGACAATCGTTGAAGGCAAGACATTTGAAGTTGGGTGCAGATTTGGTCAAAGAAAAATCCCACAACAAACAAAAGAGATATGATTGAGGGACTTGAGATGGTCTTGAGTTCTGAATCTTAAACAAAAAAGATAATGTTGAAAAAAAAATAAAAATATATATATCAATCTCCTTTGCACTATTTTATTATTATTACATGATTGTAGATAAATTAGGTGTGTGAATTTATTGTTAAAAAAAAAAAAAATTCACTGACAATGGGGCTGTAAGTGTAGTAGTAACATGTAAGAAAAAAAAATGTTAATGACAAACCTATGCATCATATTGGGCCTCTAGACAATGAAGTTGCTCACCTTCATTTTGGGTTTCCAACCCACGGATTCATATTGGGCTCCTAGGCTAGTGCTTGCATTCATTTTGGGTTTCAAAACATTGATTACATTCAAATTGGGCTTCCAAAATACTTGCTTTCATTTTACATTTTCTGGAATACAATAGAAAGGAAAGAATTTTTCATGTTTTTCTCTGGTGAGGCCCATTATATGAAGTCACCGTAACGTCATGCGATGGAACTCACCTCGCACGCATATATTGAATTTGATAACAGCGGAATTCAATCCTAAACCACTGCTATTTTAATATATGTAGTACAATATACTTTCTAAGTTTGCAAAACATGGGTAAGACATGACATGGCAATAAAGTTTGGTTGAGTTTTATACTCATTTTGGCAAAGAAAATCACACAATAAACAAGCTAGAAAAGAAAAAGGTGAAAAACAAAATAAATGAACATGCAAAGAACTCCATCTCTGATGCAGTGATTTTTTAGTTCTTCGTTTGGATTATAAGGTGTGAATGGTGCAACAAAATTAACAACAATGATATGCAGACAGACCATTTCAACCAAAATATTAGGTCGAATGCATCTTAAGATATAGAATTCAACAAAGGCATCGGCCACTCAAGGAAATTTGAACTTCTAATTTTCAAAATGTGAGGTGAAAGTCTTTTTTGCCGTTAGACTACTACTTTTATATAATTTGATCATTTAATGTTAAATTTATGAATAAAAGTGGTTATTGGTGTGAATTATTTTCTTACATCCATTTTCACATGTTATATAATAAAAGTAGATGATCAATGGTCCTCACCATCACCAATGAATATGGTAAGGAAGATTTGCTTCACTGCACTGGTTTATCACATTTGGGAAGAACGAAATTCACGTATCCAAATTATTCCAAAATGCACTCCTTTCAAAAGTTAGTATTAGTATAACCTCAATTCTCAGATAAGGGATTCTTCGACCCTCTGTTGCTGCTCACCGCATCCTCAATGATTGGAATCTCCCTCCATCGTTCTGCCGCCCTCTGCCGAGGCCGCCGAACTCCTAGGGATTTGATTGCCATCTTCGGCTTTGCCACTGCACCAGAAATCCAATACTAACGGCAGTTATTTTTGGCTTTTTGCTTGAATTTGGGGTTGGGCCTTGGGCCTATGGTTGTTGTTCTTTCTTTTGGGCTTCTATTGCTTTCCCAAGACTAGGGAGAAACCTGACAGATAGAGTGAATAGTTTCAATGGGTAACGGTTATTCCGGCACATATGTTCACACTACTTACTTATTTAACCTGGGTGGTTTTTCATTTTTCTATCAAATTTTGACAATATAGAAAATTATTCTATACTTTTTCTGCTATTTTACGTGGGTGCGAGTATGAATTGAAGCCAAGTATGGCCCGTTTCTTAAACAAAAAGTCACATATCAATACTGCTAAATATATTATATTATATTATTTTTATATTTATATATTTTAGAATAAAATACTTCCTTTGTCTCAAAATAACTATCCATCTTAAGAACTAGATAATGATTTTGAAACCGAGGGAGTAATATGTTTACATAACATAATATTTAATATAAAATTTTCACTTATTTTGAAATAATAATACATCAAAACTAATTTAAGTATATTTTTAGATGCATGTCCAATAAAAATGTCCAACAAGACCAATATTCATGTTCAAAGATGAGTTTCTTGAAAGGGTGTGTAACGTAATTTTTTTAAACAAAAGCACGTGGCACACAAATATTGACTGAAAAAGGTGGTTTAGAATTTTTTTTTTTAATTATAATTATTATTTTTGAATTTGAAAGGTGATTGTTCAAATTTTGGATAGTTGGATATCCCAATAATGTGATAAGGGTTTATATGATGCTTCAATCGCAAATTCTTCAAAAAAAAAAAAAAAAAAAAAAAAATCAGTTGATGCTTGCATTGGTCTTGGTCATTCGCCAGAAGGCTCACGAGTCATGCCTGTGTGGGCTCGAGTGGACTTTGGACTTGACTTGAAATTTGTGAATAGGTTGGCGTATAGAGAGAGGACTTGTGGTTGTGGGGTGACAACTAAAATATGTGAACATTCATCTTGGGTTTCAAAACATTGCTTACATTCAAATTGGGCTTCTAAAAACATTTTACATTTTCTGGAATACAATAGAAAGGAAAGGTTTTTCTCTTATGGATAAAACAATTGTGAAATATTTTTTAGAATTTTTTTTTCTTCGTTTGGGTAGGTAAGCTTATCTTTGTTCACATCTTTTTTAGTTATTATTATTACAAAAAGTTTTAATTTTCAATCGACCTCTTTTCTGAAATATAGAATTAGCAAGGGCCATTTGCTTTTTTTTTAACTAAAAAAAGAAGAAAAAGAAAATCAGTTTATGTTTGCATTGGTCTTGGTCATTCGCCAGAAGGCTCACGAGTCAACCTCTGTGGGCTCGAGTGGACTTTGGACTTGTCTTGAAATTTGTGAATAGGTTGGTGTATAGAGAGAGGACTTGACACAACTAAAATATGTGAACATTAATTGAAAGTAAAATAATGAGACAAGGACAAGTTTTATAAAGCAAAATGGTGGGTGACTTCCAATTGCAGTCTCTTTAAGTCCTCCTGTAATTATGATCTAGGTCGATGCAACCACAACCCTCTCCACTGCTCAGATCATTTCTAATGTTAAAAAGTCATTTTTACATGTCAAAGTTTATATTTTGACAGAAACTATAATGTCAAAATATTATATTTTATTAATTTTGCTATAATGGTGCATTTTATGCAAAATATTATTTTTTGATATAACTATCATTATTTTTCAATTACTATTCCTACCATTTATATTTACATCAGTAATATTAATATTAGGCATACTCCAAATCAAATTGTAGACATTAGAAGGAAACTATAATTAAACCTAATTAAAAAGAGGTAAAAATCTAAAATATTTGGTCAAAAAAGGGAAAAAAAAAAAACAAAAAAAAAAAAAAAACAAAAGAAAAAAAGAGAGGCCCATGACCCATATAATTAACTATATAATTTATATATATTTAACTATATAATTTATAGGCCCATGACCCAGGAAAAAATATAGTATATATTTAGGGCAAATCATTTCAGTCTCCCTAATCGCCTCCATCTCTATTCTCGTTTTCACTGAACTCGCCACCTTTCTCGGTCATATCAATTCAGATTGCTCAAAAAATCAAAACCCATATCTTTCAGTTTCCATCGCTCGCTGTTCTAATTCGGGTTCGCCCTTCGCAAGCTTCGGTCGCTGTCTCTCAATTCTCAAGCTTCCCCCCCCCCCCACCACCCCCCAACTGCTAACTTGTATGTATGAGTTTTGTTTTAATTTTTTTTTTTTTCTGTAATTCTATTTTATGATGAAGGTCTGTAATTCTATTTTTTTTCCTGTAATCAAGGTCTGTAATTCTTGTTTTGCAAACTAAATCCTATTTGGTGAAATTTTTTATGATCTTTTATATATATATATAGATCTGAAACCCCCCTCCCCTCTCTCTCTGAAATAGTTACTGTTATTTCTTGTGCTACAATTGGTATAAGAAATAACAAAGTTAAAAAGTAGCAGGCTATTTAGCATTGCATTGGAGAGCTTATTTTCAAGCCCACCTGCTATATTTTGAATTGACAATCCATATAGCAACCTCATTGGAGATGCTCTTAGTTTGGCTAGTGGAAGACATGTCACACATACATTGGGTTGCCTTTTGACACTTGCATTAATT